TTTAGTCGACCAGCTGGAGGCGCTGTGGCTCAGCCTGTGCCCCGCCCATCCACTAAAGGAACCTCTGCTGTATGTGAATCTGGAGGGGGACGAGGGGGAACCAGGGGGGGGGGAGGAGGAGGAGGAGGAGTAGAGTCAGGGAGGATCTGACGGCAGCAGGAGCTCCAAGCTGGAATGAGGCCTGGCAGCACAGGGAGGAGGAGAAAGAGGAGGACTGGATGATGCTGGGGTCAGGGGCCGCGCTCGCCATAGGAGGGGGAGACTACAGATACATCATTGCCCCCCCCTGTGGCCCCCCCGAGGAGGAGCAGGACGAGAGGGGGAGGAGGAGGAGAAGGGAGTCTATGGACACTTTACAGGAGGAGGAGAAAGATGAAGAGGATGATGTGGTCATCAATGTCTGACCAATCACAGTATTTCTCCTACTCTCACCTGATTGGACCAAATCTCTTAGCTCAGCTGATCAGAGGGGAAATTAGTTTAGTGTGAGTGGACAGCAGCAGGCGGGTGGAGATATGAATGATAACAGCAGAGGGCCGGTGGAGACATGAATGATAACAGCAGCAGGCGGGTGGAGACATGAATGATAGCAGGCGGGTGGAGACATGAATATAACAGCAGCAGGCGGGTGGAGACATGAATGATAGCAGGCGGGTGGAGACATGAATGATAACAGCAGCAGGCGGGTGGAGACATGAATGATAGCGGGTGGGTGGAGATATGAATGATAACAGCAGAGGGCCGGTGGAGACATGAATGATAACAGCAGCAGGCGGGTGGAGACATGAATGATAGCAGGCGGGTGGAGACATGAATGATAACAGCAGCAGGCGGGTGGAGACATGAATGATAGCGGGTGGGTGGAGACATGAATGATAACAGCAGGAAGCGGGTGGAGACATGACTGATAGCAGCAGCAAGCGGGTGGAGACGTAGCGGAACTGAGAGAACTCTGATAATACACAATAACACATAACAGCAGTGTGTGTGCAGTTTGTACGTACACTAGGAAAAAGACACATGAAACTTTGTGAAACTGAGCCACTTAAACACTGACCTCTCATTGTTAATTAGAACTGATAATGACACGTTAGCCTAGCTTAGCAAAGAGACTGGTTGCAGGTAGAAACTGTTAGCTTGCTAACTGATGTAGAATTTCTTAAAGTCTTGAGGTTCTGGTGTAATTATTGAAATTGTGACTAATTAAATGATTATGTAGATTAATAATGAATGTAAATAATGTTGATGTTTCTGACTGATTTTAATGCACAGTCTAAAGTTTCCAGCAGCAGAATGTTTTAAGTTCTTAATAAAATCTATGATAAAACTTTCACAACATGAATTATTTGTATATTTATGTGTAACTATATTTTCCCACACCTGTGTACTTTATGTTAGCTGTCTGAGTTCAGTTGTGTCATCCTCTGAAAGACAGCCTTTAGTCCGTGTGGACGCTCAAGTCGACAGGACTTCCTGTTTGTGTCACCAGATGTCCGTTCAAGGGATGCTTCACCCGTTGAAACATAAATCTGTATTGACATCGGGTCATATTTGTTTGACCGTACCACGAGCAGGTCTGATAACTGAAGGCTCTACCTCCCATAGTACATTTAGAGACTGTAGGTACCACGAGCAGGCCTGATAACTGAAGGCTCTACCTACCATAGTACATTTAGAGACTGTAGGTACCAAGAGCAGGCCTGATAACTGAAGGCTCTACCTCCCATAGTACATTTAGAGACTGTAGGTACCACGAGCAGGCCTGATAACTGAAGGCTCTACCTACCATAGTACATTTAGAGACTATACCACGAGCAGCTCTGATAACTGAAGGCTCTACCTCCCATAGTACATTTAGAGACTAAACCACGAGCAGGTCTGATAACTGAAGGCTCTACCTCCCATAGTACATTTCGAGACTGTAGGTACCAAGAGCAGGCCTGATAACTGAAGGCTCTACCTCCCATAGTAGATTTAGAGACTATAGGTACCAGGAGCAGGCCTGATAACTGAAGGCTCTACCTACCATAGTACATCTAGAGACTATACCACGAGCAGGTCTGATAACTGAAGGCTCTACCTACCATAGTACATCTAGAGACTATACCACGAGCAGGCCTGATAACTGAAGGCTCTACCTCCCATAGTACATCTAGAGACTATACCACGAGCAGGCCTGATAACTGAAGGCTCTACCTCCCATAGTACATTTAGAGACTGTAGGTCCCAGGAGCAGGCCTGATAACTGAAGGCTCTACCTCCCATAGTACATTTAAAGACTGTAGGTACCAGGAGCAGGCCTGATAACTGAAGGCTCTACCTACCATAGTACATCTAGAGACTATACCACGAGCAGGTCTGATAACTGAAGGCTCTACCTACCATAGTACATCTAGAGACTATACCACGAGCAGGCCTGATAACTGAAGGCTCTACCTACCATAGTACATTTAGAGACTGTAGGTCCCAGGAGCAGGCCTGATAACTGAAGGCTCTACCTCCCATAGTACATTTAAAGACTGTAGGTACCAGGAGCAGGCCTGATAACTGAAGGCTCTACCTCCCATAGTACATTTAGAGACTATACCACGAGCAGGTCTGATAACTGAAGGCTCTACCTCCCATAGTACATTTAGAGACTGTAGGTTCTCAGAGCAGGCCTGCATTCTTGGAGCATTGTGTTCTCGAAGGATAATACAGCACTGTTACCTCTTTAAGATAAGATGGTGCCTGGCCATAAAGAGCTTTGCAAGTGAGAAGAAGGAATTTAAATTCTATTCTAGATTTTATAGGGAGCCAGTGCAGTGAAGCCAATACAGGAGTAATGTGGTCCCTTTTGCTAGTTCTATTATGTAGGTAATAAGTATGTAAGTATGTTTAAAATATGATCAACACGCTTATTCAAGGTGAGGCTGTGACGTCACAGAGCCTCTCATGAGGGTCTCTGGTGAGGCGGTGACAATGGAAGTGTCATATTTGTCCTCTAACGCCATTGGTCACTCTTATTTCTCACTAAGGTAAGCGATGTTACACTCACAGTTTATTTTGAGTGAAAATAAACAGACCCATGACTCTAAAAACACAACTTTACAGGATGTCTTACATTATCGATGTGATCAGGACGTTACCTAACCAGCATCACTTTACCTGTCTCATGTTAAACTACCTGTCTCTCTGCTCTAACAGTAAATGTCGCTGCAGCCCATGTGGTCTTTAAGGAACTGATGAGCACAATAAAACATGGCGGAGGATAATGAACACAGAAATCGAACTTAACTTAATAAAATCTAAAGAAAAGGTCACGATCGTCGCGCCATCATTTTGCCATGTTCTCTTAACGCATGCGCCTAGTTACGTAACGTGAACGGCAACAGGCATTTTAACGTTAACAGAGTTTTTATTGCAGTGGTGTCCAAACTTTTTTTTTTGCGGGCCAAAATTGTCGTGTTACTATCACTCGCGGGCCACAGGTTTTGTTTTTTAAAATATTGTTGAAAAAATAATAAGGCTTTGTAGATCAGAATCAAAAGGCTCGCTAAAGAATAAAAGGAAATCAAATATTTAGATTTTACTTTATTTGTTTCTTTCTCAGAATCACCTGTAACGTGGTTCATTTTTTTGGAGAAGCTTTCTGCATTTAGCTCAGGTCATTAAATGGTTGAACAACAGTCCGCTTGTTTGCAAAAACTTTGAATACATTATTTTTTTCATTTCAGTTTACAAATAAATGTGGAAAATAGTAAAAGCTGTAGATTTAAAAAAAAAAAAAAAAAAACAACATACATGTTACTGAACATTTTCTATTTTAGGAATATTGTTCAGCCCTTGTTAACATGAAAAATAAAAATAAGATAATGTGCCAATCTTAATCGAGGCCTCGGGCCAAAATCTTCTGATTCTTCATTTTAAGTCACGGGCCGCAAAAAATCCCCTCAAGGGCCGCAAACGGCCCTCGGGCCGCACTTTGGACACCCCTGGTTTATTGTATTCAATAACCGTTTCAAACAGATGACTACATCTAGTCTAACCCACACTGGGATTTTATTTTATTTCATCTGATATTTGATTACGTCACAGTCACAGAACTAAAACGACATGACTTAAATGCTTACGACATAATGACTCATTTAAACAGACACTAAAGTCATTGGCTGTGTCCGAAATCCGTCACTCATTCCCTACTCACTATACAGAGGACAGGGAGTGATTTCGGACACAGCCATTATCTCCCTGTAAAGCTCATATCCTGTTCGTGGTCACGGAGCTTCTTCGTTCAGCTGATTGAAGTGTTTAAAACGTTAAATGTACCGTTATTTAAACATCATCACCAGCATGTGACCGACGGGCTGCTGTCTCACGAACCCCCGGAAACTAAACTGTTAATCACCGGGGAAGGAGTCCGCCATCAGTCCCGGTCCATACCGAGCCGTGCCACGGAAACAGCCCGATTTACCGCACAAAACATCCTCATGATAACAGCTCTACTAACGTTAACGTCCCCGGTGTTTGTCTAAGTTAACGTCCCCGGTGTCTGTCTAAGGTTAACGTCCCCGGTCCCGGAGTCTGTCTAACGTTAACGTCCCCGTCCCGGAGTCTGTCTAACGTTAACGTCGCCGGTCCCGGAGTCTGTCTAAGGTTAACGTCGCCGGTCCCGGAGTCTGTCTAACGTTAACGTCCCCGGTGTCTGTCTAACGTTAACGTCCCCGGTGTTTGTCTAAGGTTAACGTCCCCGGTGTTGTCTAACGTTAACGTCCCCGGTCCCGGAGTCTGTCTAACGTTAACGTCCCCGGTCCCGGTGTCTGTCTAACGTTAACGTAAATATCAATATTGTCCTCCGTCACATTATGTTCCTTCCTGCTCCTCCTGAGATCATACCGCACTGCAGGTCCTCCGGTGTCGGTGGTGATGCCTCCGGGACACTTTTGAACCAGGTGGCGACTGCAAGATGGCGTCGGAGGCTGCGCAGTGGGAAGACGGGTGGTGACGTCACAGTGCAGGACACCGCATGCAGTTTTTCCTCTCTAAGCAAAGATCCATGATGTCGACGATGTGTAGTCGACGGACACACAGACACTAACGCTCGGATTAACGTCGCATCGGCGAACAACCGACGTGTTCGACCAGCTGAAGGTAAAGAGAGCGCGTGGCCCGGTGTGTCAGGAAGAACCGAGCGTGAGGTTCAGGTTTCATGGAATCCATAATGGCTGAGCACGAGGCCTACTGCTAGCTTCATGTGACATCACATTAATCTTCATATAAAGCATCCGGAGGTTAATATGAAGCTCATCATTCATCTCAGTGAGGGTTACACATCAGTGTTCCTCATGTGTTTCTCCTTCTCCATGTTTCTGACATGTTTCACATGTTCAGTTAACACATGGCGGCTACATGATGACATGAGGCTCAGTTTAAGAGTATACTCAAGGAGGGAAAATTGTGATTAAGTCAGTAAAATCACAGAGTCAGTATATAACTTCAGTAAAGGACGCTAATTGGACTGAGCTAAGCTCTGTCTGATTAGTAGAAGTGAGTTGTACAGGTGAGTTCTACAATTCTGCATTTTGTTTTGCAGACGCTTTTATCCAAAGCAATGTAGCCTACATCAGAGAGTAAGTACATCACAAGCAAAGATCTAGAAAGGAGGAAGAAAACGTCAGTAAATGCCAATGAAAAGCTTAAAGTCCGTTCGGACACACAGGTGATGACAGGCAATGCACAGCTGTTCATCGACAGCTGTTCTTGAGAGTTCTAATCAGCATCAAAATCATCCTAAAATCGTTATTATCAAACAAAACCATCATCATCACTATCGTCATGAATAATATTAAGGTCGTAGGTATTCATGAAAGAGCTGGGTCTTTAGCTTTTTCTTAAAGATGCAAAAGGACTTTGCAGCTCCAAATGAAAGGAGTTGTAGCGGGTTGGTTGGGTGAGTTGTAGCAGGTTAGCTGGGTGAGTTGTAGCAGGTTAGCTGGGTAAGTTGTAGCGGGTTGTTTGGGTGAGTTATAGCAGGTTAGCTGGGTGAGTTGTAGCAGGTTAGCTGGGTGAGTTGTAGCGGGTTGTTTGGGTGAGTTATAGCAGGTTAGCTGGGTGAGTTGTAGTGGGTTGGTTGGGGAATCATAGCCGTTAGCTAGGTAAGTTTTAGCGGGTGAGTTGCAGCGGCTAGATTGTATTGGGTTAGCATGTAAATTGGGTGCGTTGTAGCGGGTGAGTTGTCGGGTAAGCTGGCTGAGTTGTTGCAGGTCAGTTATAGCAGGTTAGCTGGGTGAGTTATAGCAGGTTGGTTGGGTGAGTTGTAGCAGGTTAGCTGGATGAGTTGTTGGTTGGGTGAGTTGTCGCGGGTTGGTTGGGTGAGTTGTAGTGGGTTAGCTGGCTGAGTTGTAGCGGGTTGGTTGGGGAATTGTAGCCGTTAGCTAGGTAAGTTTTAGCGGGTGAGTTGCAGCAGCTGAATAGTATAGGGTTAGCGGGTAAATTTGGTGCATTGTAGCGGGTGAGTTGTCAGGTAAACTGGCTGAGTTGTTGTGGGTAAATTATAGTGGATGACTTATTGTGGGTTAGTAGGTAAATTGGGTGCGTTGTAGCGGATTAGCTGGGTGAGTTGTAGCAATGTCAGGCTGTTATGTTGCTTGGTCACTGCTGATCAGTTAATAAGCTGCATTTTAAACGCACAGCTAGCTAAACTCAATCTCAAAAGACTTCAAAGGCTGTGTATGAAACCTAACTGACATGACGGTCAGCACACCTTTAGCAACTTACTAAACAATGGGTCATGGAAAGTTCGAGCTCCGGAAGTTAGCGTGATCATCGATGCATAAAAACAATTCAACAACAAAATTGTATTACTAATACAGCTAAGTAGTTATATTAATAAAATTAACAACATATAAAATATATCACAGTAAGGTTGCCTTTATTTGTACCTGTCTCGTTGGCTGACTGATGAGCTCTGGCATTGGATAGGCTGAGAGCTGCAGTGCATTCTGGGGTTCTAGGCTTCCATCTTATACAAATCTGTCCAATAAAGTAAACATTAGGGTTTTTCTCACTATATCTCTGAACGTACTACATACTAAATGTGACGTCATGCTTAATAGGAATAGTATGAAAATCTGTAGTTGGGGACAAAGATATAATATATATATAATTTTGCACACAGTGCATGTAATTCACTTATACGCACAGTATGTAAAATCATCCGCCGCCAGGGGGCTCTCAATCAAAACAATAACAAAAGATGATGCCAAGGCTGGCAGAGAATCATGGGAGTGATTCTGTCTGCTATTCCCCCTTTAAAATCCGCTTTGTTTTGATTTTCAAACGATACGTGTTATCCATAGTTAGAGGGGTAGCTGATATGATTGACAGGTGGGCGCGATGTAACCATTCGTCAAGAGGCTTAAATCCCGCTCTAGCTCTCAGTCTGTCATTAACGGATAACTTGTTTGTCTTCAGTCCATGATGATTAAAAGAAGCATGCTGAGGCCCTGATTTATGCTCAAAGCAATGGCTGTCAAGAAATAGAGTTGTATCGAGAAATATGTTTTCATCAGCAGCCAAACAGAACTCCACCCTAACCCTTAAAACTACACAGATTCAGTCACAAGCTACAACACAATGTAAGACACAGACTTATAAACCCTCTTTCTCTGGTCTCCTGCACACAGATGAGTTGAATAGGAGGGTCGTGGGTGCATGTTCATGTGTTTATATGCACAGTTCCTTTTAATTTTGTAATACTGTGATATAATACTGTTAAAGCAAAAATCACACAAAAATGATCATGATATAAATTTCAAGTACTATCGCCCACTTATAGTGTCATCAGCTCATAAAGCTCAGCTTAACTGAAGGTCACACGTGTCATCAACCAAGTAATGTCTGCAGTATAACACTGCAGTTTAAAATCTTAAGGTTAACAACAGAAAGGGTTGAACTCAATTCACGTAAGAGCTTCATGAGTAGAAGCTTTATATTCTGTAAGAAAGTGAAAACACAGTGTGTCATCTTGTTTCACAGGATGCTGAACCTGGGCACAGATGGTTAAAAAGCAGGAAGATCCTGCTCTGTAGATGTCTGGAATCTGTCCATGGCTTCTAAGAAGCAGAGAGGAATGGTTTTCTGTGAGGAAGGGGGGTTCACACCTGCAGCAGACCACCTACCTGAGTGCTTTGCAGCTCTTAAACCAGGGAGGAGAAATGAAGGTGGGAAACACAGCACCTGTTTGACGAATGAAGAAGCCGGTATGATGGGTAGCCCCTACATGAACCCATCAGAGGAAGCCATCAAGGCTACTGTTGGACTTCCTGCTTTGAAGTATCCAGCAGGTTCAGATAGCATTTCACCTGGTGGCCTGTCACCTGCCTGTGTCTGCAGAGGCATCAGAGTGACTCTGGACAACAACAGCATGTGGAACGAGTTCTTTAAATGCAGAACAGAGATGATTCTGACCAAACAAGGAAGTAGGATGTTCCCCTATTGTCGCTTTCGGATCTCCGGCCTGCAGCCGTCCAGGAAGTACACATTGATCATGGACATTCAACCTCTGGATAACAGTAAGTATGAGTGGACTGGCAGCAGCTGGCAGGTCGCTGGGAAGGCAGAGTCTCAGGTGAAGAGTGCACCATTTGCCCATCCAGAGTCTCCTTCAACGGGCCAACACTGGATGCTGAACCCAGTGTCCTTTTACAAACTGAAGCTCACAAACAACCTGACAGACCAAGAGGGTAACACCATGCTGCATCCTATGCACCGCTACCTGCCCCGTTTGCACATCTTTCAAACTGACAAGCCTGTTAAAGACATCAAGCTGAGCGGTCCTGCTGTCTTCACCTTCACTTTCCCTCAGACTGAGTTCATGGCCGTCACAGCGTACCAGAACTCTCACTTTGCTCAGCTGAAGGTCGACTGTAACCCGTTCGCTAAAGGACTGAAGGAGGACATCTCAAAGCTAAAAGTGAACTCTAAAAAAGATTATAGCAAAGATGGAGGCACAACAACAAACAAGCTGCATCCTGTGAAGAAGAGCTTGAAGTCTTTACTGGAAAACCATAAACTGAGAACCTCAAAAGCAGCGAACTTGATGCCTTCAGTGTCATGTGACCTGCAGACTACAAACAGAGATCAGTCGGCTGCAAAGATCAGTGGGGAAAGTTCACGGTAAGATGTCATGCTTTTCTAATTATTTACAAATGTCAAGAGAGAGAACAAGGAGTCAGCACAGAGCTTTAGCTCAATGTTTAACCTGTACATTAAGTTTTAAATGGGTTTGGATCAGTGTCCTAATAGTTACCCAGAAATTCCCAGGGTGCACTGTTATGGGGATCTTTGCTACAGCCTTTGTTTCATGTACAGCGTGAAGTTTAAGTTGTAGTCAGTGATGAGCACTGAATCATACTCAGCTCTGAGTGGACAGTTGTCTTCACTACACTCACAGAATAAATGATATCCACACACAGTTTTCAGGTATGCAGCTCTAAGGTGTGTTGCGGGGTGGGTTGTACCTGAATTACGACACTAAACATGAACTAGATTTAGTGTGATTGGCTGTAAATGGAGGAGATCTTGTGTGTTGAGTTGATCAGAGGTTATGCAAGTTCTACTTTTTATCATGATAATGGCTCATGTTTCATGGTTTGGTTTCCTTCAGTTCTCCTCCAGCTCAGAAGTTATTTTCTGAGCTGATTCGTGAGGCTCACGTTTCACTACAAAGATGCAACATGGACCAGCTGAGCAACAACAACATCCATCACACAACTGAGTGGACCAACACTAAAACAACAACTCTAAAACACAATGGACAAGAGGGCAGTAAACCTGTCAGAACACACGGTGAAACATCAGCTACAAACAAAGATGAAGCTGTTGTGAGTACCAGGAAAGTGAGGCAAGACCCTGTGAAGTCACTGAACATCAGTACTGATTGTCCTGCTACATCAGCTTCATCAACTCCATTAGCGGCCCACTACTTGTCTGTGGACTCGGAGCACCAACAGGACTTGTCTGTGGATTCCGAGCGCCAACAGAACTCTTTTGTGGAATCAGAGCACCAACAGAATTCGTCTGTGGACTTAGCGCACACACTGAACTCTTCTGTGGACCAACCAAAGCCTGAAGCTCCGTCAGAAGACCAAGTTAAACAACACAAACGTCCGGCACAGCTGCCTCTTCCAGCTCTAGCTCTGTTTTTAAAGCAGCACTCTACAAAACGTAAAAAAGCAAAGATCAGGCAGGACTCTCCTCCCCCAGCACTCCCGTCTGAAACTTCTTCTGAACCCATGACTTTGAATCCTGCTTCCTCAAAGGACCCCCCTAAAGATATAACTCAGTCCAAAAAACAGACGTCCTCATGTGCTGATGAATGTCTTTCACCTGATGAACCCAGCACTTGGCCTTCCAGTCCATCAGGTCAGGAAGCTACAGCTGCTTCGAACGGACAAAGAACTGATTATATGTCTATGTCAGACCCTGAAATCACCACCGAACATCAGGCTGATAGTCCACCTGTGTTATCCAGCTCAGATGAGCTTCTTTGTCCCCCTTTGACATCTTTTTCCCCCATGAGCTCCTTTTCTCTTATCCCCTCACCATCCTCTGACCTGGTGTTACCTGTTGAGATTTCACACCCATCAGCCTCCCCCACCATGAAGACTGAGTGTCTGCTTCCTGATCCAGAGTGTTCTTCTTTTGCCTTTGAGCCATTGTCTCCTACAAGTTCTCCTGAACCATTACCTTCGCTGCCTGTCTCTATAACTTTAGAACTCAGCTCTCAGACTTCTGAATATAAATGTGTTCATCCTGAAGAAGAATCAGCTGAATCAGTGTTTAAATGGCATACAGTGTTACCTCCACCTGAGCCTGACGTCCACTCTTCATTCACAACATTTCAGTCCACGCCACACACTCTTCCTTTAGCCTCTGTTCCATCTCCTGTGCTGCCTTCAGAGACTGCCTCCCTCCCTGAACCACAGTCTTTGGACCCATCCACATCGCCCCCTGAGATGTTTCAGGTAAACGAACAGTCACTACCATTCTCTGCAGAGCTGTCCCCCCTCGCACTCCAGCTGCCACTGTCTCCAACCTTCTCCTCTTTAGACGGAGACCCGTTATCACCCACGCCATCACTAGCTGACCTTGTGCACCTTTTCTCCATGGACGATGACCTGGGGTTGGGGGTGGAGTTTTCAAACTCAGAGTCGGTGGCTGCAACCTGCCTGCCTTCAAGCACAGTTGAAGCAGACCCACAGGAGTCGTCTCAGCCGCTGCAGATGGTCCAAGCCAACAAACCCTGCAAACGCAGGAAGAAGTGTCGCCGACGAAAGGTCGCTAGGACCCACACGGATCAGGAGAAAGACAACTCCACCTACACCTGCATGCAGGCGAACCTTGAGGAGGTGGAGGAGCAGCTGTTTATCTCCTTCACATCAAAGGTGAGACCTGTCAGAGGTACATCACAGAGGTGTTCTATCTGAGCTCTAACCTGCCCTGTGCAACATTGTGCCGTGTACCAAACTGCACAGTGACAAAGTCTGTTTCTAATTAAACACTTGAACTGAATGTTTTTACAGAGCCAGGAAGTCCCCCACACCTCCACCTGTCTGCTCAGGTCAAAACAGTGTTTTAGGACCTCTATGGTTTAAGTTTACTCTGTAATTTAACCCAAGGTTACACTCGATTTAAGTTTACTCAGACATTTCAGAATCAGAATCAGAAATACTTTATTAATCCCAGGGGGACATTTGGTTGTTACCTCTTCACACAACACAGCAGTAGGAAATAAAATAGAATAGAGATAATAAAATAAGTACCAAGTAGGAATACAATAATAAGATACAACAATTTAACACAAGGTTACACTCAGGTTTAAGTGAACTCTGACATTTAACAGGAGGTTACACTCAGGTTTAAGTTAACTCTGACATTTAACAGGAGGTTTTACTCAGGTTTAAGTGAACTCTGACATTTAACAGGAGGTTACACTCAGGTTTAAGTGAACTCTGATATTTAACAGGAGGTTACACTCAGGTTTAAGTGAACTCTGATATTTAACAGGAGGTTACACTCAGGTTTAAGTTAACTCTGACATTTAACAGGAGGTTAAACTCAGGTTTAAGTGAACTGAGGTTTTTTTATGAGCTGCAAATGCATAAATTCTCGCCACGTGTCCCTCAGATCTTGAGCTTGGCTCGTCAAACTATTGGTTGTAAGGTATAATTTAACTTATTTAGGCCCAGTAACTGTTTCAATATAGACCTCTATGGATCTTCAAAAAGTTTCGGATATTGTTGTTGTGTCAGTGAACAGTCTTACAGAAAATACATTTTATATTTCAGGAGGCCCTCAAACTTCACATTGTGGACTCTTTAAAAGTATCAGACCCTGAGGCTCAGAGAACACATGAAGGTCACCTGCAGACACCTGAAGGTCACCTGCAGACACCGGAGGACTCACCTGAGCAAGGTAACAGCTCACAGATATAAGTCACACTTTGTTTGTGTTCTTTGTTGGATTTAGAGGATAAATATCACTTTAATCTGTCTTCTTCATGTTGAGCATAGTTTAGCATACTGACTGGAAGTAAGGGGAACTGTTAGCCTAGCTTAGCATACTCACGGGCAGTAAGGGGAACTATTAGTTGAGCTCTATCAACAGAGGAAGTAATGTAAATATGTCTCACTTGTAACCTAGTTTTAGAACAAGTTGTGTAAAATGTAAATAAAAGAAGTGCTGTTGTAAAACATGCTAACTCCATATTTAAATGAAAACAGCCCAAAGACAACATTTCTAACTAATAAGTAAATTTTTTCTGGAGAATTTTAAGCCCAATTTGAATTTGATTGAAGCAAAATGTTTAAAAAAAGTTGGGACAGTCACGTTTACGGCTCTGTAGCATCACTCTGTGAGGTCGGCAAACTCTGTACGACTGATTGTTTTTTCTACCTGTTTATATGGTTCAGCATTAAAGTTTTCTTCAATAATGTGCAGAGTAGCCATGTCATGAACACTAAAGCACCTCCACACCTCTCTGAAACTGTGAAATAACTGTTAGCCCTAGAAGCTAACGGTGAAAGTTTGGCATCATTATACATCTTTTATTTCAGTAGGATGTTAAAGAATGCTAAAGTTAACAGCTTTTAGTTGTTGCTAAGCTAACTGTATCACAAATGAGGAACAGGAGCTAAAATAATGTACACTACTGTATGTTAAATTTAAATGTAAGCAGTTTTTTGTTTTAACCGTTTCTAAAGTTTGTGCTAAGTTAATTCCATCCTGCACCCTACAACACACTCGTTTTCAGAAAATCTGTGCTAGCAGCCAGTTAGTCTCTTTTATAATGAAGTGTTTTATTTGGCAGTAGACAGCTTGGAGAAAAAGATTGCTGCCTTCCAGAAGATCCTCCTGAGAGACCTGAAACTGATGAGACACAGACAGGTGATCCATCCTGTGCTGCAGGAAGGTACGTTGCATACATTTCTTTTAGCATTCTTTTTTTTGGTTGATTTTTGGGCTTTTTATGTCTTTCGTTAGAGACATGGCAGTGGAGAAGAATTCACTGAGTGAGAGAGAGTTATGACATAACCCAGCCTGCTAACGTGACAGCCTGCTAACGTGACAGCCAGCTAACGTGACAGCCAGCTAACGTGACAGCCTGCTAACGTGACAGCCTGCTAACGTGACAGCCTGCTAACGTGACAGCCTGCTAACGTGACAGCCTGATGTAGCACACAGACATGCTGCTGTAAACACAGAATAGCATAGAACTGAGTATATTGTATAGATCCGCCTCAAGGATCTGCCCACAGATTGGCCTATTGTCACCAATACCCGATATAGCTATTTGTGTCAGGATCGGATACCAGGATCAGATTGGACCAATATCCGATCCGATGTCCCTAAGTGTAACCTGGTGTAATCTGTTTTTAGTGGGTCTGAAGATGAACCTGCTGGATCCCACTCAGGCCATAGACCTGCAGTACTTGGGGGTCCGCCTGCCCCTGCCCCCACCTGGACTCTCTGTGGATCCCTCAAATCCAGGTCTGTACCCGCATCTGGATCTGAACCAGGTTTAAATACCATTAGACCACCATGACTCTAGACTGTCCTGTGTTTATCTAATGAGATAAATCAGCTTCAAACATTAAACTGATCTGTGATCAGTATACCTTTGTTACTCTGTGCAGGTGTTTGTGGTGCATTCGTGTCCCGGACAGGAAAAACAACAGATGTGACTCAGATTAAAGGCTGGAGAGAGAAGTTCAGTCCATCAGAGGCTCCACCCCCTCCTGCACTACCTGAAGGTGATCTAATTTAGTGAAGATTATCAGCTGAAAATAGGACTTCATTTAACTGATAAGAATCTATATTGATACACTTGAAAGATATAGAAATCAAACTTTGATAAATAACTTCAACATTCTGCAGCCTGAATCTAAACCAGGACTTTCATGACTTCTGACCCTGTTGATGTTTCCCTCCTGCAGTTGGTCCTGGTCCTGACACGCAGAAGAAGAACCTCTCTGCATTCTGTAGTGACATGTTGGATCAGTACCTGGAGAATGAGGGAAAGCTGATTGATCGGCAAGTTGACAGTCTGTCTCAGCAGCAGTCTGACCCTCCAGTCTACCAACTGCCCACCACCAGCACTAGCTACGTCCGGACCCTTGACAGCATCCTGAAGAAGCAGGTGGCCTCAGACCTGATATCTGGATTCATTCCCCCCTCGAAGAGACCCAAACTCCCTCCAAAGGAGCCCCGAACCTACCTGAGAGAAACCACCAAGCAGAGAGGTCCAAAATCACACAAACCAAGACCAGAATCTGCTCTTACATCTGGATCCAGTCCAGCTGAGTCAACCCATATCACCAAACTGCCCATTGTTCCGACTGCAGCTGCCTCCCTTTCTTCAGCAGCCCCCCCTATATCAGAACCCTTGGCCCCAATCAACAAACCTAAGAAACAGAGACACATTGTGAGAGTCCCATTTGCATCAGGACCGCCCCCAAAGGTAAAGGAGAGCAGGAAGCTTAAACCCAGGACCATGTCCCAGACCCTAATCCACCCCAGCATTACCAATGTTGTCTCAGAAGACCTGGCTCCACTGGATTCAGACCCAGAACAGGGGAATAAGACTCATAGTGTTCCTGTGATGACAAGGGGTCTGCTGAGACAGAAGGACCTGGAGGATGGAGGGGTCTGGGAAGGAAAACCCAGAACCAGAATCACAGAAGAGAGGGCTGCCGTTGCTCTGACATCACTGTTCACTCTTAAGGTAAGATCATACTAGAGTCTGAGTCACAACCCTCTCCCTGTGGTCCACCACCCACAGGGAGAGTCAGAAGAGAGGAGTAGAACTGTCAGGTGTCAGGTGGCAGGGGAGGCTGCAGACAGATCTGGTAAACCCTTAACATGTAGTGAGGGTGAACTGTAAGCGTCTGGTGGAGTCCCATGTCTACAAGGTCTTCAACTCCCTCTGGATGAACGTTTCTTTCGTCTCAAAGGAGATTGTGGATGTGGAGTCTGAGTGGTCCATAGTTAGAGATGTACTCCTCTGCAGCTTCCAGGGATCTCAGGAAGCTGCAGAGGAGTACAGAGTGTTCAGTAGGGATGTGATTTCAAACCTTGCAAGGAAAAAAGCCTGAGGTGGTAGGAATTTTGGTAGGCTACGGAAAAGGACTTGTGGTTGGCCTCAAGGATTTTCTGGCAAGCTGGCTCAGACTCTTTTCAGCAGGGGGCGAGTTAGAGTTTAGGGGTGTAGAACTGCTGATGCAGACAGGGATATTAAAGAACTCTTTCAGAAACTCCTGAACCCAATCAATGCATCCTCTGATGAGGGAGTCCAGAGAAAGCACTACCCATATCATTGTCAGAGGTTGCTAAGGTTGTCAAGAAGTGACATGGCAGTACACAAGTTGCTGGCCTCCAGCAGGTGCTGTAAGCTGGTCAGGATGATGTCATAACCTACAAGTCTGGGACCATGGTTCTCAGTGGAGAAATTCTTCACAGCAGATAAAGAGTTCAGATAGTTCAGGGTCTTGTTCACAGTGAGTATAAAATTGATTGTGAGATTGACATCTTGATGCAGCATCAGATCCGATGCTGTCACAAAAAAGGAACTAACCAGGAGGGCTAGGCTCCTCTTTAACAGGTAGATATATGTCCCACCCCTCACCTGAGTTCATGAGATCTGGTTAGTGGTCAAAAGAAGAATTAATGAATGGTGGAACATTTGACCAAAATGAGTTTCCTCTGCAGGATTGTCTGGGCTCAGCCTGGGGGTGGGGTAAGGAACTTGGAGTTTAGTGTAGCTGCTACTCTTTACCAACAAAAGGTGAGACCTGAGAGGGTTTTAAGTCTTGTCAGGATCCCTCGAGAGGGCCTCCTCCTTTTTGAGCTAGGAGTACATCCCGGGGTAGACCCTGAGCTTCTAGTGGGTTCTGAGATTGTATGTGGTATCTATGTTTCCCCCCAGGGCTTTGTCATCGAAAATCCGACCACTCCGGTGCAGGTGGTTCGCAGACAGGCCCCTCCCTGCCTGAATGAGTTCTGCCGGCTGGGCTGTGTGTGCTGCAGCTTGTCTCATGGCTGCAGGATCAGTCACTGCGGCCGGCCCGCCTGCATGCTGGGCTGCAGCTGCCTCAAACAGAAGGTGGTTCTCCTCAAGCACCTTGACCCGGACTCAAGCCCCTCCCACCAGGGAAACAGGAAGAGGAGGAGGAGGAGGAGGATGAAGATGGCTTATGGTAGGTTCACCTTCTGCACCTGCTACTTAAGCTACAACATTCAATCAGAGAGCTTCAGGCTCTGATGTCACCCAAAGCAGGTGATGAGACACTGAAGTTTAAATTATTTTTGTCTGATATAAAAAAAATGTAGCTAATATCAAATGTAAAACATTAAAGGGATACTTCACCCATTTGCATTAAGCTTTGTATCATTAGTAGGGCTGGGCAACGATTAAAAGTTTTAATCACGTTAATCGCATGAGTTCCTGTGATTAATCACGATTAATCGCATTGTTATATGCAAAATCCAACAATTAATTCAAAAGTAGTGTATAGCGCACTTTTATTGTTAATATACTTCTCAACTTAAACATGTAATCAAAGCAAGTAAACACAAAACTAAAGCTTATTGCCACTGCAAGGACACAATGTCATCCTGTTTGTTATATAAAAAAAACTGCCCAGAAAGGTTTTAGGCTAAGCGGTATAATGAAAATGTCGGGATGCCATTTTTAAAGTAGGGGAGAGTGTGTCAGGTCAATTGAGAACATTGATGTTTATTGTTTGGTTATCGGGGAAACCACAAACAAATTTTTGTTGTACTTGTCATTTGAAATTCTTGAGTTTATAATCTTTTTGAATTTGTCTTCAATATTGCTAATGTATTTTTCTGAACTGCAACATTATTCAAGCAGTTGATGTTGACATGTTATTAATTAAATGCACTGCATAATCTACACCACTAGGTGGAGTCTGTGAGTGACAGTGACATGCAGGAGTTCAGAGAAGAAGAATGTTTTTGTGATGCTTCGGAGTTAGCAAGAAAGCTGTAGTTATCATTCAGCAGCTGAAGAGACTTGTAGGCAGAGTGTTTGTTAAATGCTTAAATAAAGTGAAGACAAGTGAAACGACCTTTCAGCGTCCGCCTGAGTTACTGGCTGCAACATATTTTAGAGTACTTATCAAGTACTTCGGTGATAAGAAAATTCAACTTCTCAGTGGTTACAAATAACTTTGGCTCTGTCGACTGCGCCGTCTGAAAGAACTTTAAAATGAAAATGGCCATGTAAAAGTTCCGTACACTTCTCCATGCTTGATTATCTGCCAATTATTTTCTGACTGTTCCATGTTTCCTGTGAGCGCCGCAGCAGTCATGCGCAGCAGTAAGCAACATACTAGGCTCGCTCACGATGGAATTTTACAAAATAAAAGCCAGTGAGCAACAGACTTTTACAATAATAAAAAAATAATAAAAACTTTGTTAAGGCGAGATAAAATAATTGTCGGCGATAATTGATTAATTAGTTAACGCGTTAATGTGCCCAGCCCTAATCATTAGAAACCTGGTAGTATTTTTGAATGGTCGTGCATCCCGCCCTCATTTTCCCCTGAGACGGGAAACATCTGTATTTCTTGTCTGAAAAGGAGCCAAAAAAATCGTCATTTTGCGTCATCGACGGCTTCTCTGGTTAGAGTCGGCACGAGACCTGACTGTCGGCGGCGGTGAGGACAAGGAGCCTGGGCCGGCTCGAGCTGGGGCGGACCGGTGGTGTTGGTGCTTTCACTGTTTGCCTATGGACACAGACATAGAGTCTGTTTGCTGCCAGGAATTTCCAAGATGCCAATTCCTTCTGGAAGAAATCTTGGTATCAGTTGAGGAAACGGCTGTATGTGTTGTAGTAAATGTCTGTAAATAGAGGACCGTAGCTTCAGTGGGAGTGGCCTGCGGTGCTATGCATTCTGGGAGCTGTTGTCTTTCATCCACTCGAGCCAAAAATACACTTTCTGCCTTTTCTCGGTCAAGAAGGCACCAACTTGAAAATGTATTTCACATTTCTACTACATATATGACGCAATGTCAATACAGATTTATGTTTCAACGGGTGAAGTATCCCTTTAAACAGTATTTATGTGATTAAAACTGTGAAGTTCTTCATAAACCTAAAAGTGTAGAAATGATTTTAAAATCTGGAGTCTTAGCTTTTAGTGTTTAAATGTTTACACCTGTTTACTACCTGTGATCACGTGACAGTATGACCCCTGTAGTCTACTTGTGATTGCTTGACATCTTGACACCTGTTAATGTTGACACTTGCGGTCTACCTTCGGTCACATCACATCATGACACCTGTAGTCTACCTGTACATGACCTCTCCCCTTGTAGTTCTGAAGGAGGCGGACTCAGTTTCCCAGCCTGCCCAACGGGTCCGTACTCTGTGGAAGAGGGATGGCAGAGACTCAGATCAAGATCCGATTCACATCCCTAAAGCAGTTCATCGGCCCTGCCCATCAGTAAGACCCACCTTCTCCTGTATACCTTTCATAATAAAGGTTCATACTTCCTGTTCTATGATCTGTCTGTCCGCCTGCAGGAGAGGACAACAGTTAGCAGCTGTGCCAGGGTCAGAGGTTATTTCCTGAAGAGGCGGAGCCACAAAGTGAAGGTAAGCTCCTGATTGGCTGAGGTCAGGTGAGATCAGATGTCATGGCAGGTGAGACCTGACAGAAGTTATTTTGCTTCCAGGACACACCTGAGGACAAAAAATCTAAAGACGGTCGTTTGAAACGTGTGAAATTGAAGGACCCTCAGCGCTCCACACCCTCAGCAGGTAGACACAGGACTGTTTCATAAAGTGGCTGTGTGTGTGACTAATGGCTTTCTTATGCTGCTATTTCAAAGATTTAAGTGTGACGTCATTGTGACATCATTGTTGTCGTTTCTTGCAGCACTTGGACCAGATCAGGTTGTTTCCTCTGTCCAGTCCCCTAGTTCTTGTATCGAGTTAACCCCGAAGCCGTCCAAGCGTCTGATCATCCTGACGGAGGGTAAGTGGGGCAGCGCCGCCGACAGGAGCATGGTGTTAAAGCACCTGTGTGAGCGAATGGCTCAGGACCAACTCAACCAATCGTTCTGCCTTGGGGGGTACCGCATAACTCCCATCAGCCAGACTGCTGAGGGGGACGGGGCTGACAGCTGCATACAGTATAGAGTCCACATCTCCATACCAGAACCAGAAAAACCAGCACAACAAGCACCTAACACAGACCAACAACAGGTAAGAACTCACTTTAAGAGCTTACAGCACACACCTGAGCAGGTGACAATAACCCCTCACACAGCACACACCTGAGCTGGTATACACACACCTGAGCAGGTGATAATAACCCTTCACACAGCACACACCTGAGCAAGCATACACACACCTGTAAAGGTGCTCGTAAATCAGAACATCTGTCTGAGCATGTGAGCAGTGCCCTTGATTTGATTGATCCTAATGGACCTGTATCTCATTAGGAACACATGAAACAGGTTTTCAGGGAGGCGGAGCCTCCTGAGGAATGGCAGAGAGAGGTGGAAGCGAAAGAGGCTGAGCCTCCTGAAGATTGGCAGAGAGCATTGGAGGAGGAAGAGGCGGAGCCTAGTGAAGACTGGCAGAGAGAGGTGGAGGAGGATGAGGCAGAGCCTCCTGAAGATTGGCAGAGAGAGGTGGAGGAGGAAGAGGAAGAGGCGGAGCCTAGCAAAAATGACCAAACAAAGGATGTCAGTGAGGAGAAGGCAGCATCAACTTATCACCAGGTGCACGATGCGAACCACAGAGAAGAACAGGACATAAGATCAGAGAAGAAGAAGAGGATCAGTTTGGGTCTGCCATTCCTCACAGGAGTCTCACCTGCTGGCTTCCTGATGACCAAGAGGAAGCAGCCAGGAGGAACAGACCACCTGGTCCAGGTGAGTTGTTGCCCCCCTGTCCCCCCAACTAATCAAACTCTGCCCACTGATTATCTCACTCACATCTGTCATTAACTTTTCCTGTTTACCTGTCGGCTTGTATTTACCTTTTTACCTTTGTGTTTATCTTTATGTTTATCTGTGTTTACCTGTGTGTTTATCTGTTTACCTGTGTGTTTATCTTTGTGTTTATCTGTTTACCTGTGTGGTTATCTGTTGACCCATAAGTTAATCTGTTTACCTGTGTGTTTATCTTTGTGTTTACCTGTGTGTTTATCTGTTTACCTGTGTGTTTATCTTTGTGTTTACCTGTGTGGTTATCTGTTTATCTGTTTACCTGTGTGTTTATCTGTTTACCTGTGTTTTTATCTGTTTACCTGTGTGTTTACCTGTTTACCCGTAAATTAATCTGTTTACCCGTTTGTTTACCCGTTTGTTTACCTGTGTGTTTACCTGTGTGTTTACCTGTTCACCTTTTTCCTGTGTGTGTCATCAGGTGAATGGGAAACTCTATCCTCTGGCTAAGATCCAGTTGGGACAGATGGGGGCACTTCATCCTGCGAACAGATTGGCAGCTTACCTGACGGGGCGAGTGGGGTCAAACAGGAAGCAGCATGGCTCCTCCGCTGAACCTCACCAGAGCCGAAGTCCTGGAACGCCCCACCATAATGTTTCCTCCTCTTCTCCTGTGGTCGGCATTCCTCTACCCAAACCTCAGCCGTCAGTCCCAATTCCCTCCATCCAGACCCCACCAACAGGTGAGCTTTACCTGTTTATATAAAACTTATCAACCTATTACAAAACACTTGGATCGGGCCAAACTGTAAGTGTCTGTTAGCATGCTAACTGTCAGGTCAATCAGTGACTGTCCGTTAGCATGTTATTGATCAGGTCAACCAGTGAATGTGTGTTAGCATGCTAACAAACACTCACTGGTTGACCTGATCAATAACATGCTAACGGACAGCTAACGATGATGGAGTACTGTCGCATCTGTCGCAGAGTCTCATCTGCCAGTCTTCCTCCACCAATCAGCTGCCTTGTCTAACCCGCCAACACCTGAGGGGACAGGGTCTCGGGTAGTGACAATGATGTTGTACCCAAATAGGACAGGAAAGACCAACCAGGTTACAGTGGTACCTGCAGCATCTTCTAGCTCCGCCCACCTACCAGGTAAGATGACATTATCCTCATGTCCTTGCTGGTCTCTGGTCCACATTCAGATCCTGTCACTGCTTGCCTCTGGTCTAAATTCAGACCCTCTGGTATGTTTCAGGTCCAAACCCGGCTCTGAAGGTCTCTCAGGTGTGGATGGTCCCAGCCACGGGTCCTCTTCAGGGTCCTGTTCGGGGTCCGTCACCAACCTCCACTGGTCAGAGGATGATACTGAAGCCAGTTCAGACCACATCAGGGTTACAATTCTACCGCAGACCTGACGGGAAACTTGTTCAACTGGTCCCCCTCAGCCAGCTGAGACCAGTCCCCAAGATCCAGGAAAAGAACAAGATCCAGGACCAGAAAAAGATCCAGGACCAGACCTGTTCTGTGCAGAAAGGTGAGTCTGAGAGAAACGTTCTTTTTGATTCTGAACTTGGACTTTTTTTTTGCACCTGACATGTTTGCCAAGTTAGTGTGGTTTGTTGACCTCGATCCAACCTCACTACAGGAAGCAACCACTGTAGGCTGTCTCTTCTCATCATTACTGAACATGCATTAACGACCACAGGCCGGGGCTATGCCCCACTTTCTATTATAGGCAAACACAACTTTATAACATGTAGCGGGGGAAACACAACTTTGAGAAATTAGGTCTTGTTGGCTGCCCGGCTACCGGCACCGTTGTCTGGCTTGAGTAGGCTACGGGACTTTCGTCTGCCAGGATTTTGAACTTGTCAGGCCCGGGGCAGAGGGCTCTCCGTGGGTGAAGTGTCAGTGTTTGATGACAGGGAGTAATGTTAAACTGTAGCAAAGAGATGAGTAGCGAGTTCAACCCGGACACCGGAGATGGCGAAAGCACAAAGTGTCAGGCTGGTAAAGCGGGTGCAGAGGGATGAGTTGCAGCTGGAGCTCATAGCCCCAGAGATAGCACTAGCTGCAGGCATCCCGGGGCTACAGCCACGGATCCACACTCGGCTCTCGTCCCCGATGTTAAAATCCCAGTCGGACTCGCTTTATCTCCGCGTTTCAGTAACATTTAAGTTATCCTATGTCTTTCAACGGTACAACTTCCCGATCAAAACATAACTTTCTGATCCTAGCTGTCTCTCTTACTCTATCCATAGGCTAAATAAACAGATCCACAGCGCCCCTACAGGCCTGGAACACTTCCGTTTAAGGCTGAACTTGCAGCGTTTCTGTGTTTGCTGTTGTTTTCTGGTTGTCTGTGTTTTGACTCAAGTTTCGTTTCTGTACTTGCAGCGCGTTTGATGCTTATGCAGTTGTTTTGCCTATTTGCAGCGCGTTTGTGTCTTTGCATTTGTTGTGGTAGTTTGCATTTGCTTTTGAATGTGCAGCATTTCTATATATGCTGCGCGTTTTTCTATATGTATGTCGTTTAATCAGTTGCTGAGCGTTTGACCCTTACCAGCCACCGTACCTACCTGACGAATCTTCAGAAACAGTTTGGGTGGATGGGCAGGTCCTGGTTCAGGAGGGTTAACGTGCTCCTTCTCCTGAATTGTCTTGATAAGCGTCTTCAGTTACTCCAGAACATCAACATATTATTTTCAAAGTGTAACGTTTGCCTCCAGTGATAGAGCTAATAAAACAGAAACAGATGAGCAGAGCCGATATCGATCCTTGTAGTCGCCTATCCATTTAGAAATTGTAAAGTTTCTTTGGAGCAGGCAAAGCCAATCAGGAGTCAAATAGTCTTTGTCTAAGAGTTCTTGATCATGATGGTATCTGTGAGCACCTGAAACTTTGATCATGTGACTAAACATCACCCCTTTACATGTCCCCTCCCACAATTGTTTGTTCTCCCCCAGTCCTCCAGCCTGCTTACTGTCAGACCTCAGACCCCCAATCCCTGCCCCTCCTCCCTGCCCCAACCCAGCCCCCTTCTGCTGTCTTGGCTCAAAGGGAGACTTGTAAATTTAAAGTCTTCCCCACTGACCACACAAAGGACCCAATGATTGTCACCTGTGTGAAAGTCCCGCTCCCTCCCCCAACCAAGATGGCCGCCTCCTCCCCACTCCTCCCCAAGGCCTCTGTGAATCTTCTCTCCCTCAATCCAGATAAAGGTGAGGGGGCAAGCTTGGGTGTGAAGACTGTGACAACGGCCCCTTGTGGGGTGGTAGTCCATCAGAAACCTCATACCATAATCCAGACCACTAGTAGATCCCAGTCCAACCCTCCAGGGTCAGAGGTCTCTCTATCCCCACCTCAACCCCCAGCCCACAGGACCGGACCTGAGCCAGAGCCGTGTAGCAACCTAAGGGACCTGGACATGATGTGTGTGGAGACTGAGGTGGTTGCTGCCGGGACAGTTGTTGGAGACAAGCAGCAATCAGAGACCTTGGAAACTGAGGAGACGGAGAACTCGTCAGACTTTGAGGAGGAAACAGATGAAGAAAGAGATTCAGTCAAATCTCAGGTATGATTAAGACTTGCCCATTTACCAGAAGTTAAATATCAGAACAGAATAATCCGGATTATGTTTAAGATGGTTTGATGTGTTCTCTTTGTCATTAAGCCTGACAACATACGTCACAACATGTTGGAGAAGCAGCGTAGAGTGAAGATGATGAAGCTGTTTAAAAATCTGAGGAGAGAATTGGGACAGGACGAGAAGACACCAAAGATCCACATCCTCAAAAAGGTACATTAAATATTTTATATTTATTTTACGGTTAGAGAGCTGGTTAGTTTGGTGAATGGTACCGTAAAATCCAGAATATAAATCGCACCAGTATATAAGACGCACCCTGTTTTGAAGGTCTCTTAAAGAGAAAAAAAAGTTTAAACTGTTTTCCTGCGTGACAATTTATATTGTGTTCAGCGATGTCTACAACGTGCAGTTTCTGTGCAGCTGTGTCATTCTTTTAGTTCCGTCTTTTTTCACTTTCGGGAGTTTGCGCTCCTACCAGCTACAGTACGGTAGTTGAGCTCTCAGCCTGCAGGGAAAGTTGTGAGGCACAGACTCCTAGCTTGCGAGCCGCGCTGCTTGACTCCACTGGTCACTCTTTAACTTTAATACAGGACTCTTTCAATCAAAAGAGCACTCCACAAGGTTTATTTACGGAAAATATATACCACTGTTTTCTGCATGATTGTGACCTGGTGAGGGAGAAAAGATGTGGAAAAAGTCGCGCAGCCAGCCTGGCCTGTGTCGCCGTCTTTCCCAGCACAGCGTGCACTCAGCTTTCAATACACAATGAATGGGGATGGGTTTTTAATCGCATCAGGTTGCAGTTAATGGCTGCTGCACCCGCTGTAATGATGGCGTGTGTATATTGGTCGCACCGGTTTATAAGACACAGCCAACTTTTAAGATGAAAAAATAGGTATTAAAAGTGCGTCTTATACACCGGATTTTACGGTAGTTGTTAGTTTCTTTATTTGTAAGTTTGTTTATTGATTAGTTAGTATGCTTATTTGTTGTTTGGTTTATTGGTTAGTTTGTTAAATTGTTGAGTTTCCAAATCATTTGTTTGTTGTTGGTTAGTTATAATTGCTTGGTTAATTGGTTTACTTGTTTGATAGTATATTTATTGGTTGATGTATTTGTTAGTTGATTTTTTTGGTGTATTTTGCGGTGTTGGTGTATTTGTTGGTGTATTTAGTGGTTGGTGTATTTGTTGGTGTATTTAGTGGTTGGTGTATTTGTTGGTGTATTTAGTGGTTGGTGTATTTGTTGGTGTATTTTGCGGTTGGTGTATTTATTGGTTGATTTTTTTGGTGTATTTAGTGGTTGGTGTATTTGTTGGTGTATTTAGTGGTTGGTGTATTTGTAGTAGAGTGTCAGTTTGTGTTGTTTGTGTTGTCACTGCAGGCGATGGAGGCGATCCAAGAGCTGAGGACTGCACAAACAAATCTTACAGGGATAAAGAGGTTGCTGATGAAGAGGAGGGACCACTATCTCAACATCATTGCTCCCCCCACAGGTTTGACCTCTGACCTCCCTGTTACAACCTCTGACCTCTGACATTGCCCTACTGACCTCTGACTGCCCTCTCACCACTGGCAGGAAGTAAACACAAGGAGGTGATCGAGGAGGCAGGGCTTCTGTCGGACAAGATGTATGAGCTGACAGACAACTCATCTGATGAGGAGAAAGTCATCGCCTTGACAACAAATGTGATGGATTCTCAGGTGGACCATAAACAGATACTAAATCAATAATCACAACAGAAAGCAATGAACTGTGAACGAGTTGATTTAAATTTGATTTTTGATGGTTTTTGATGTAATGTTCTGAAAAAATAAAAGAGAAGAACATGGTGTCTGCATGTTTGTTTCAGGTGGAACATGATGTTCAAAGTGTCACCATGGGGATGATGGATGAGATTGGTCAGCTGAGTGATGCCCAGAGGAGTCTGTCGAGCATCATGGAGGACCTGGACTCAAAGTAAGAACTGATTCTCTTCCTGTCTCAAGATGAGGTCACCATGACATCACTGGAATAACGGCTTGGTCCTCCATTTTCTACATTGAAATCACTCTTTAAAAAAACAACAGACAGGAAATAATGAAAAGAACCTGATTTTAGAGACAGGAATGATACAAGGTATTACTACAGGTAAAGTATTTACCTGTAGCTTCACTTTATAAAACAAGCAACCAATCAGAGCAAGGACCTTTTGAGCAAAGAAGACCAGGTGAGTCGAAACCAACATGTCATCTTCTTTTTTCTGACAACAGAGACGCTTTGAGTGCAAAGAAGTTGCTGCGAGATCAGAGAGTCAACACCGCCTTCAAAGCTCTCCAGTCCGTGATGAATGACAAAAACTCTGCAAGGACACACCTGTTGAAACAGGTAACAACCAGCAACCACAGCCACAAAACATTGTGAAACTAGAGCAACCACACATCAGGAACCTAGAGCAACCCCAGATCAGGCAACCTGTTACGCCGCTACACAAACCCACGGCTAAATGCTATCCTTGCGCCTGACTCTAAGGCCAGTGAGCCCGAGGAGAGGTGCAGGACTGCCGACTACCTCACGCTCACTCGATTAACAAACAGGTTTTTTTTAACGACCTATCAATAAGTTGATAGGTGGGTGTATTTTAGTCGACGACTTTTTCTGTTGTTGACTTCAGTCTCAGTCACAGAAATTCAGGAGACGAAGGGTTAAAGTCGATTGTTGTGTTTCAGGCTTGTCGGGAGATTCAGACACTGCAGTGTGAGATGAAACTACTGAAGAGTCTGAAGAGCTGTCTGAGACAGCAGAGAGACGCCTACATGAAGAAGATCCAGCAGGGGTCAGGTGAGGAGCAGAGGGGGAGGAGTCCTACTCGATGAGGCCAATGAGGGGAGAGGAGGAGTTGAAATATTTCTGCAGAAGGTGTAAACATTTTTTGTTTTGAATGTTGAGCTGATAGGTGCAGCTGTTACCTGTGTTTGTGTCTGCAGGTAAAAGTCAGCAGGGAATCCTCAGGAAACACCAGGTGTCCAAGAAAGACAAAGCAGCCAATCATCTTCAAGATACAGAAGGGGGTGTGGCTTCCTCATCAACTGATGATGACATCATATTAACTTCCTCCAACCTGCAGCAGCCTATTAAGGCTCCTCACACTCTGACCCCGCCCACACCTACACCTGTGCAGACACATTTTCTGAAAAATCCACCTGTCCTGGCTCCCACTGTTACCCACAATTCATCAGGAGTTAAGGACAGGACGAGGACGATCCCAAACATCCTGACTCGCAGAAGGAAGATGGTGAAGGGTGAGAAGGGTGAGATGTTGTTGATTATTTAACGAGCTGGGCACAATGCGGTTAATCCATTGAACGTTGCATATCTCTGTTAAAGGTTTCATTCATTTTGAACGTAGACGTTAGTTTGAAAAATGATCAAATAAATTGTTTTTTTTACGGTATTTACGTTGTGTGTGAAGACACAAGGCTGTCATCAGGTGTGTTGTCGACCACGATAGGGAGAGCGAGAAAGTCCTGTTTCTACTCAGGCTCTCATTGGCTACAGTAGCCTAGGAACAGTGAATGGAAGGCCCTGATTGGTCCAATGAGGTGAAAGGTCAGAGTGCATGAATAAGTACAGAGAACACTGAGAGTTTGGATCAGTCTATGGATCTTTATGGATGTGATTAGTTTAAATCTTGTTGAAGCAGCAGGACCTTTTCTATTGGAATATTCAAACCTGAAGAGAACAGTCAACCTTTAGATGGGAGAATCCCTTTGTGAATGAGGCCTGATGATCTGAACATCAGGCCTCATTCACAAAGGTGTTCTTATCTCCAAGTGTTCGTTAGTTGACAGATTAGTTCTTAAAGAGATACTTCATCCATTTGCATTAAGCTTTGTATCATTAGAAACCTGGTAGTATTTTTGATTGCTCGTGCATCCCGCCCACATTTTCCCTTGAGATGGGAAATCTTTGTATTTCTTTGTAAGTCTAAAAAGGAGCTTCCGATGACGCAAAAATCATCATTTTGCATTATCAGAAGCTGTTGCGGTTACCGGGGTGAAACTACAACTCTAGTTCCTTTTATTTTCAACCACTGACGCTACAGACCAATCACAGATCAGTGGGTGGGAACTCACTCCCAGAATCGAAACTTAATGTCCGCCACATTGCTTGGAGGCTATGCTAACAGGCTCTATGGAGAAAGCGGATAATGGCGAAAAAATATAAATATAGCGACAAGACGGTTGCTGCCTACAGGCCGGTCTTGTGTCTTGGCTGCTGCGGCCGATGGCCCCTGGGGCCATGGGCCGCCGCTGGGTAGCCACAGCAGCCAAGACACAAAACCGGCCTGTCGGCAGCAACCGTCTCACTGCTATATTGCTATATTGCTGGCTGCCACCAGCCGCTGCCAACTCAGTAGCCGAGACATTAGGCCTGCCTGTCGGCAGCGGTGAGGACGAGGAGCCGGGGCCGGCTCGAGCTGGGGCGGACTGGGGGTGTCGGTGCTCTCACTTTTTGCCTTTGGACGCAGACATAGTCTGTTTTCTGCAAGGAATTTTCAAGATGCCAATTCCTTCAGGATGAAATCTCGGAATTAGTTGAGGAAACGGCGTGTTCAATGTGTTGAATTAAATATGTCTGTAAATAGAGGACCTTAGTGGGTGTGGCCTGCGGTGCTGTGCATTCTGGGATTTCATCCACATGAGCCAAAAAGACACTTTCTGCCTTTTCTCGGCCAAGAAGGCACCAACTTCAAAATTTAATTCACATTTCTACTACATATATGACCCAATGTCAATACAGATTCATGTTTCAATGGGTGACGTATCCCTTTAAGAGCGGTGAATGAGGCACAATGCATCACAAAGACGTGTTTGTTTGTCAGTGGTCTGACAGATGTGTAGATTGTGGTTGCTGTGGTTTACACGGTCATGATCACGAGAACCGTAGCTTTCTAACGATGTATCACAAGTGATGAATACAGAGCAGCTGAGTTAAAGAAGGTGATGATGAGAGACGGGTCAAACACATTTCTATTATTCATAGATTTTGTTTAGAGTTCATCACGGCGTTTAATTGGTAAACATTACCTTTAACCTTCCTTAAATGTTAATGAAATGTACTTGATGTAAGTTAATGTCTTTGTTGGAGGGTTAATTCGTGATGACCTGTGTAATTTAAAGTTTGTTCACAGAGACTGAAATCAAATCATGTGACATTTTGTAGGGTAGTTTTATAATGTATGGAGGTAAACAGGTTAGTTGCTTGACCCTAGTTGATTAATTATTGATCTGTAGAATATTCTGGACGATCATAACAACAGCATTGGATCTATCGTCTACTTCCTGTCTATGTTTGTCCTTCCAGAGCTGCCGCTCTATCAGGCTCTAGTTCCCACTGAGGCTCTGTCCCTGGCAGGGGCCTTGTTGCCGGGGCAACCAGTCCTGACTATGACCCCGGTGATGTCAGGGCCTTCTGTGCTGCAGACGTCTGCTTCAGCCGGTACTGTTATCTGCTTGAACATGCTTTTATTTTGAAGTGGAACCTGACAAATTCATGTCTGAAGGCATGGCCTGATTGACCCTCAAAATGCTTTTATATTGAAGCTAAACCTGATTACTTCCTTCTTGTAGGCGTGGCCTCAGTGACCCTCAGCATCCCAGGCCTGACCAATCAGCAGATCCACATAACCTCACTGCCCCAACCACAAACTGGTAAGACCTAGTGTAGCTCCGCCCTCTTCACATCATTACTTTAGGGTAACTTAACTGACTTAACCAACCAACCTAATTAACAGCTGACTTGTTAATTAAACTGCTAACCAAAATAACTAACTAGATAACTACCAGGCTAACTAGCTAGCTAACTAGATAACTACCAAGCTAAATAACCAGACTAACTAGCTAATTTACTTACTGTAAAAAACAAATTGACTCAACTTTAAAACAAACTAACTACACTAACTAATGGATTTAGCTGAACTAAATAAAGAAACAATTTTGATAATAATTTAATTTTGATAATAATAATAACTTACTAACTAGCATAACTAATCTGGCAACTGTGTTCTTAAGCAGCTGGCTGACTCAGTTGTTGATTGAAAGCTTACTGAACTAACCTGTTCATTTTGTTTTTATTGTTTACAGCTCAAAACATCAACAACCAGCTGCAACTGGTTCAACCAACAAAACAACAAGAACAACTAATGACACGTAACACAGACCAACAACCAACCACCCATGAACAACTAGTGATACAACAGCAACCAGTGACACAACAACAGCAACCAGTGACACAACAACAGCAACCAGTGACACAACAACAGCAACCAGTGTCACAGCAACTAGTGACACAAAAAGTAGTGGCACAACAACAACCAGTGACACAACCACCACCAGTGAACTGTCAACAGACTCCACAGGTCAGTCCTGGCGAGTCCTCCTTTCGGCGTCTTGGGTTAGAGGATTCAGTGGGCGTGTCTATCAGAGGCGGGGCTGACTGCCTTACATCGCTCCTCGACGAGATTGTCTTCCTCAACCAGCAGAACTCCAAGGAGACTGAAGTGGGGGTACTGTTTCCAGGGAAACAATTCTTTGAGGTGGGGCTGCAGGAGGAAAGTAGCACTGTGGGCGAAGTCTCAGAGCAGGGCGGGGCCTCAGAGCCAGGCGGCGCCTCGGAGCAGGGGAGCCCATGGCTCCTGCGGCTGGATTCTGACTCTGAGGACACAGTTACCACGGAGACAGCACAGACAGAGACCACTACGGGCCAATCACAGCCTAGTCCTGTTGTCCTGACTCCGCCACCCCTGCTGCAGATGAAGGTGGGCGGGGCAACAGAGGCAGACCTCTCCAGCATTGATGGAGCAGCAGTAGTGGGAGAGGAGACGAGGAGGGATGGAGACATGACCTGGAGGCCGATGCCAAGGTTGGTCCCTCTGGGCCTGAGAGGACATGCCTCTAGCTGACATCACGCAGTTTTAGTCCGCCATGACACTCCACTGAAATGTTAAAAATGTATTAGCATTGATAAAAGCAACCAAATGAACAACCAATCAGATCAACAAGCAACCAGCTCTGATTTCTGTAAAATCAGTAGATAGAGAGAGAGAGAGAGAGCTTTAATGAACATGAAGCTGCAGAAATCTTCAACATTAAAGTTTGATGACTGTAAATAAAACAGTGACTAACCTGTACCTGCTCAGTGTTGGCTGCAGTCTGTTGTTTAGTTAAACTGTTTTAAGTATGTACAGTGTACAGGTGTTTAGTTCTTTTTTTACGTGTACCTTTTACAGTGTTGGAGGAGAAAACGATGCCTCAGAAACAAAAATAAAGTATAAATATGAACAACAGCCTCGTTGTCTTTAATATAAATTATGGCGTTACTATGTTTCTACCAATTGAGGGCGCTGCTGCGTCACACTGGAGTGTGGCCTTGAAGCTGTACTTCAACAAAATAATAAAGATAAATGAAGGGAGGTGAGTGAATGTTTTGTAAAAGTTAAAGCTTTAAAGATAAAGTTTGTGATTCAGAGTAACTTTGCAGTAATAATAAAATAAGAATCTAAAGCAAAATCTGAGTCTGTAGGGACTTGGGTTGGGAATTGGAGGGTCGCCTGTTCAAGTCCCGGCACGGACCAAAATCCGGAAATTGGTCTGGTACCTCTCCTTTAATGGATGTCCATAGGATCCTGTTTGTGTGTGTATTTCGGCTTATGTTTGTGTAGCATGTTCATGAAACAGAGTGTAAAAACGATTTTCGCCTCGCGGGATGAATAAAGTATAAATTAATTATACCATTTTTCATTTAACTCATAACTGCACAACGTGTAAATGTATTTATGACAATTAATGGAAGTATTTTTTAATTAATTAATACTTAATCTGTAAATACGTGATTTTATTTATTCTTATTTGTACGCATTCTCTTTTTTTCTTCCCCTCTGGGATCAATAAAAAAATATCATATAGTATAGCTCGAGCTTTTTTGTTCTGAAAATCCTGGCCAGAAGTGTGTGTGTGTGTCATTGCTGCTTGCGGCCTTGACGCTGCGGTGCGTCATGACGCTACGGTGCGTCATTCGTTCAGTCCGGTCTGTCTATCTCGTGCAGAAGTCGCTTCGTCTCTTCGCTGCGGCGGAGGAAACAATGTGGACCAGCCTGGGCCAGTCCGGAAACGGGACTAGAGCCGGGCTAGCTGGACCGGCACGGCGAGGCTCTAAGACGGTATGACGTCACCAGCACCAAGGACAGAGCGAGAGACGAGCCGCTGAGAGGGGCTGCTAGCCGGGCAGCTAACAGCGCGATGACCGCGGAGGGAAGCGGAACGATCCGCAGCCGCATCAAGAACCTGCTGCGCTCCCCGTCCATCAAACTGCGACGCAAGAGCGGCACCGCGCGGCACGAGCTGGGCGACAAGGTGCGCACGCACGCACGGACACACACATACACACACAGACACACAAACATACATACACACACACACACACACACACACACACACACACACACACACACACACACACACACACACACACACACACACACACACACACACACACACACACACACACACACACAGACAGACAGACAGACAGACAGTTTTGAACATGTTGTGATTTCAGTTCTGATTAAAAACAACTTGTTGTCTCTCTGTCTCTCTACTGGAGTCCTGGTCCTGACTCGACCTGCAGCTTCCTGTTTCTGCTCCAATTGTCCCTGCAGGGCTTCCATCCGTCCACCAATCAACAGTTTCAGTCAGAAACACTCCCAGCATGCTTTGAGTCTTGTTTAGACTGTGCGTGTGTCTGCAGTGTTAACCAATCTGAGGGTCAAATGGTGCATTCATCTGAAAAACAAGTTTCCCAGTTGTAAAATGCACATGAACGCCTGCTGAAGTCGCAACAACTTCTAGGAAACTCGAAAAACGTCTTGACGTCATAATCGTCATCACATGGGGGGCAAAATATGTTTTGTTATGTTAAGATAATTTTGTTAATTGCACGTCAACTTTTTTGCTGAAATATAACACACATTGTCTTCTTAGCATCAGTGCTGTTTATTACTGTTTGAATATTTTGGACTCTCCTAACTGAAATCACATGAACACACTGAAATCGAAAGAACGACTTCCCATCTCAGAAACTTGGTCCACCCGAGCAGCACATGAATGCAGCAATAAACCTGAGATGGTGGTCAGATAGCCATGAGGGGGTCACATGATGATGCAGCATGTCCTCATTAACCACTTAAGCCTGATGACTTCTTCTGTGTTGAATCTATGCCATATATAATAAGCGTGGTTTCAGTCGCCATGGTTTCCTGTTACACAAACAAACAGAGAAAATAACGGGGACAGGAAAATGGTGATATATCTAGCATAGAAATTGCAATCCCATCTAGTGTTCAGGTGTAGTATACAGAGCTCCACGGGCTAATGCTACATTTCTTTAACCCACACATCATTTGTAGCTGTAGAGTTAACTGTGTTATTATGAAAAGTTATGGTCAACCTGTGCACCAGCTGGAATTCAGCCCTGCCTGAGTCACACCTGGGGGTACCTTTGAATTCTGGAACAGAACAGGAGTTGGTTTAGAAAGTGGTTGTTCACACATAAACCTCACACCATAATACTATGCCTGTGAAACAGAAGGGGGGGGGAGGCAACGATGGAGACACCTGGAGAAGGGTGATTTGGAGAAACGGCCTGTCCGATCTGTACCCGAGTGGTGCTTTGCTTATGGACTTCTGTGAGAGAGAGAGAGAGCTTGATAAGACATCTCCCCGCTCGAGGGTCTCACTGAAATTGTCCTGACCCCTCTGCAGTACATAAGAGAGAGGAATCCGGTGGCTGGGAGAGTTGTAGTTAAGGAGGCAAAAATGCGGGTGTGGGAGGAGGAAGGGGAGGCAATGAAGAAGGACGTTCGGTTGGCATCAAGGAAGTTCTGCAAAATGCTGGCCGTCCTAGAAAGAGAAAGCAGGGCTTGCCCCAGGCTTTTATGGACTGGGGATATCGTTAGGCGGTGGAGGGAATACGGCCACTGAAGGCGAGGCAGAGTCTGAAGATCTTTGGGAACCTTACCATTAACCTTGGCAGAGGTTACTGTGGCAGTAAGAAAGAAAGCTCCTGAGGGTCAAGGTGTCAGGTATGGGTGTATGTAATGGTTTTCCCCCTGAGATGCTAGAAGCTCTGGACATTGTGGGGCTGACATGGCTGACACACCTCTTAAATGTTGTGTGGACGTCTGGGACAGGGCCTGTGGTGGACCGGGGTGGTAGTTCCCATTTTTAAAAATGGGGGACCATAGGCTGTGCTTCAATTAGTTGAGTGTCACATTTCTCAGCCTCCAGTGGAAAGTCTACTATAGGGTGCTGGAAATGAGGCTCTGACCATTTGTCCAACGGTGGTGAACATCAACATTAACGCCATCAATAGTTTTCGTGAAAGGTCGGATGCGCAACTTGCTTTAAATGTTGCTGCCGCAAGGAATTGTGGGACTCCATATCTCATCTCCTTTGGTAAAGGATGGTCCAGTGTATCCTATGCTAAAAGAGGTTATAAAGGAAGCATTGACGCACCTTAGCTTACCTTTGAGGGAATTGAAACAACTCTTACCATGGCCGCCACTTGCTGTTTCCGGGTCATTTCATTCAGTGAGGAACCTTCATAAGAAAAAAAGACAATTCGAACGCCCTCTCAGATGGACTGTGAGATTGACAGGCAAATTGGCTCAGGGTCGGCAGCAATGCAGGCGTTGTACTGAAACTGTTGTGGTAAAGAGGGAGCTGAGCCTGAAGGCAAAGTTCCAACCCTCACCCATGGTCACAGAAATAATAAGATATTGGAAATAGGCGGCTGAAATTAGTTTCCTCCGGAAAGTGTCCTTGGAGATAGGATGAGGACCTCAGACATTAGGGGGGAGCACAGAGAAAAGGTGCTACTCCTTAACATCTTAAAGAGTCAGTAGAGGTGCTTCAGGCATCTGATTAGGATCCTCCTGGATGCCTCGCTTTGGAGGTTTTCCAGGCACACCAAACTGGCAGGAGGCCTTGGGGCAGACCAGAGCACGCTGCAGGGATTATATATCCCGTCTGGCCTGGAAACGCCTCAGAATCCCCCAGGATGAGCTGGAAAACGTTGCTGAGGAGAGGGCGGTCTGGTGTGTCTTAATTCACCTGCTGCCTACGCGACCCGTCCTCTGATAAACAACAGAAAATGGATGGATCATATTAGATTTAATATCATTTGAAATCTTAAGCTGTACGAAAAATGTTTAGGGACACAAATGTTACAACTACAACGTTACAGACAAAGCTGTGCAGTAACAGTAAAACAGGGCCTCATGTTTTGGCTAATATCTACACCAACACCAACACCATCACCACCAACACGACCATCACCATCAACGCCACCACCAACACCATTATCACCACCAACACCATTATCATCACCACCAACACCACCACCAACGCCATTATCACCACCAACACCATTATCACCACCAACACCACCAATCCCACCATCACCACCAACACCATCACCACCACCAACAACACCACCATCACCACCACCATCACCAGCAACACGACCATCACCATCATAGCCATCACCATCACCATCATAACCACCACCATCACCAACACCCTCATTACCCCATCACCACCAATACCATCGCCACCACCCCCATTACCCCCATCACCGCCAACACCACCACCACCATCAACATTATCACCACCAACACCATTATCACCACCAACACCACCACCAACACCATTATCACCACCAACACCATTATCAACACCATTATCTCCACCATCAACACCAATACCACCAACACCATTATCACCACCAACACCACCACCAAGACCGTTATCACCACCAACACCATTATCTCCAACAACACCATTATCTCCAGCATCACCACCAATACCACCATCACCACCAACACCATTATCACCACCAACACCATTATCTCCACCATCAACACCAATACCACCATCACCACCAACACCATTATCACCACCAACACCACCACCAAGACCGTTATCACCACCAACACCATTATCACCACCAACACTACCACCAACAACACCACCACCACCATCACCATCAACACGACCATCACCACCACCACCAACACCACCATCACCATCATAACCACCACCATCAACAGTTGGTTGTGAGTCAGCAGCAGTGCGTGTGGTTGCGGAGGGTGAGGAGAACAAAGTCAGCTGATTCACCTTTGAGTGTTTATTTTCAGTTTGAGTTTGGCGTGACAAGTTAAAGAGTGAGGGGGGGGGCAGAGGGAGGGAGAGAGACAGAGAGAGCTTAGGAGAAAGCTTAGGAGAAGGAGGGGGGAGTCATGAGAGGGGAGAACTCATGCTTCAGTCTGCTGCTGTTATCTTAGCATTCAGCTACACAGCACTCTACCTGATCACACTGAGTCCTGCTGCTTACATGCTAACATGCTAACAGCAGCAACAGTTTGACATAAGGTTCAGCTGTGAGAACTTCACTCTGATTAAACGGAAGCCTCATTGTGACCATGCATGAAGTAAGTGGGTGTGTGTGTGGTGAGGGATTAGTGCTACATGAACTCTCCTGAACATGTCCAGGAGTGACTAGGTGAGCAGCATGTCTGAACACAGTCTACTTTGACTTGACTTCTTCCTGTAGCCTTCTGAGCCTGAAGTGGGCGAGGGGGCTGGGCGATGATGTCATTCAGTTTGAAGAGTTTGATTTTTTTCTCCTAACCCTGTATGTGTAGTGTTTATGTTCTTATACATATTGGAGTGAAACTGACACACACAGGAGACATTACTGAACTCTCCTCCACTTCCTCTTTCTCCTCTGCTTCCTTTATCTCCTCTATCTCCTCCACTTTCTCCTCTTTCTCCTCCACTTCCTCTATCTCCTCCTTCTCCTCTATCTCCTCCACTTCCTCTATCTCCTCCTTCTCCTCTATCTCCTCAACTTCCTCTATCTCCTCCTTCTCCTCTTTATCCTCAACTTCCTCTATCTCCTCCTCCTCTTTCTCCTCCACTTCCTCTATCTCCTCCTTCTCCTCTTTCTCCTCCACTTCCTCTGTCTCCTCTATCTCCTCTTTCTCCTCTATCTCCTCCTCTTTCTCCTCCTTCTCCTCAACTTCTTCAGTCTCCTCTATCTCCTCCACTTCCTCTATCTTCTCCTTCTCCTCTTTCTCTTCCACTTCCTCTGTCTCCTCCTCTTTCTCCTCTTTCTCCTCCGCTTCCTCTATCTCCTTTGTCTCTTTCTCCTCCACTTCCTCTATCTCCTCCACTTCCTCTATCTCCTCCTTCTCCTCCTTCTCCTCCACTTCCTCTGGGTGCATCTGAATTGCCAAGTACCTACTCAATCTGTCAGTAGGCAGTAGTCAGTACCTACTATCCGTGCTGTATACTGTTTAGTACCTACTGTTCAGTAGGCGCGCACAGTAGGCAGATATTTGTTCCTACTTATTCTGATTCATTCAGTATGGAAGTGACGTCATTTGCATTTCCCGAACCGGCCGAATTCACCCGTTTTTTGGGGGTTTTTTTTGTTTAGCTTTATTCAAGAGAAGTAATGCACATATACAGTCAGGTAAAATGTAAACCAAGTAAAAGACAGATTAAATAACTAAATAACATATAGCAGGCTACATAAAGGAAAGTACAAATGAAAGACAGTAATATACAGAATATAAAGTAAAATAAACCAACAAAGACACATTTAAATAGTGAAATCATTATTTAAATAGAGGGGGAAAGGTTTTATAATAATGCAGATATTTGTTATATTTTCTGTTGTTAATTTAAAGTATTGATTTCAGTTGGGACTTTAACTCTAGATTAAAAATGGATTAAATTAATCCATGCTCATTTGTTTTGATTTGGAGGCGCACGTGAAGTGGGTGGTAAAATACAATTCATTTCCTGAAAGCACGCATCCGATCCATACTGCATAAAACCCAGAAGTTAGTATCCATACTGAAATGTTCAGTATACTGAGGTGGACCCAAAAAATGCATACTGAATGACCATGAAAGTTCAGTCTACTGAAACTCTCTACTGAATAGTACACACTGCCTACTGAACTGTGGCTATTCGGAAACGGCCTCTAGCTCCTCTTTCTCCTTTTTCTCCTCCTTCTCCTCCTTCTCCTCTTTCTCCTCTCTCTCCTCTTTCTCCTCCTCCTCCACTTTGTGATCTTGTTAGGTTCAGGCGTCATGATAACTGTCTTTGAATATCAGTTCTGACTAACAGAATGACCTTTGTCTTTCAGGTGACCTTGGAGAAGGTTCTGGGAATCTCGGCTCCGGGGAACCGAGCACTGGCGTGCGACCCTCGGAGCGGCCTACTGGCTTATCCTGCAGGGTGGGTAACACCTGTATGATGTCACTTCCTGTTGGGGAAGCGTGACCAGACGTGATTCTTTAGGATTATCCTGAAAAGTTGATCATGAAAGAGTTTCCGACACAGATGTAATCTGAGCAGAATGCAGAGGCCACAAATACACGAGAACATGACCATTGAAGTTTAGAGTTTAAAGTAGGATCAGCGTCTGTTACAGGGTTAAATTATATTTATAAACATATATCATCTAATATTATATTTATAAACATATATAATCTAATATGTTGAATGTATATATAAACTACTTGATGTACAAACAGCAGATTAAAACATCTCAGGACTTTAAAGACTAAAAACATGATGAGATTATCAGATTATACAGATCATGTGTTAAAAGAGGACGCGTGCGTGCGTGCGTGCGTGCGTGCGTGCGTGCGTGCGTGCGTGCGCGCGCGCGCGCGTAGGGGGATATGTGTGTGTTCTTATAAACCAGTACAACCAGTTCAGATGTTTGTTGAACAGTAAAGTTTGTACCTCAAACACTCTGAAGTTTAAATGTTTAAGTCGACAAACTAAGTCTGTCTTTATGGACTGTACCAACGTTCACAGGTAGTTCTTCATGTTTAATACGGACTGTACCAACTATCACCACCACCAACACCACCATCACCAACACCACCAACAACAGTTGGGTGTGAGTCTGCAGCAGTGTGTGTGTTTGCAGAGGGTGAGGAGAACTCACTTAAAAAAGTCAGCTGATTCACCTTTGAGTGTTTATTTTCAGTTTGAGTTTGGCATGACACGTTAAAGAGCGAGGGGGGGCAGAGGGAGGGAGAGAGAGAGAGAGACAGAGAGAGCTTAGGAGAAAAACAACTGAAGTCATGAACAGAGTTTCGTGCAGGGGAGGAGGGGGGAGTCATGGTAGTCAGGTAGTTTTTCATGTTTAATAAGGACCGTACCAACTATCACAGGTAGTTCCATACCAACTAACACAGGTAGTTCTTCATGTTTAATACAGACTGTACCAACTATCACAGGTAGTTCTTTGTGTGTGTGTGCGCGTTTGTGTGTGTGAGATCTGTGTTCTATGGACCAAAATATTTTTTATGATTCCCTCAACATCTCTGTAGAACAACTGGAAAGGGGTGTCCCCCTGTTACACCACCAGAACTGTCCTTATAGTTCACAAAAATCTGTGTGTGTGTGTGTGTGTGTGTGTGTGTGTGTGTGTGTGTGTGTGTGTGTGTGTGTGTGTGTGTGTGTGTGTGTGTGTGTGTGTGTGTGTGTGTGTGTGTGTGTGTGTGTGTGTGTGTGTGTGTGTGTGTGTGTGTGTGTGTGTGTGTGTGTGTGTGTGTGTGTGTGTGTGTGTGTGTGTGTGTCTTGTGTGCCTGCAGGTGTGTCGTTGTGCTGCTGAATCCTCGGAAGAACAAGCAGCATCACATCTTCAACAACTCCAGGTAATTCTTTATGGGAACCAGTGCTGTTGCTATGGTTACCTTCAGGTTAACAGTTGAACTGTTGACATTACAGCACATCTCTGATGTCATACATATGGCAGCCAATCTTGGGTATTTTTTGTGACAGTGATTAAAACTTTTTTTTCAGGAAGACGATCACAACGTTAGCGTTTTCACCAGATGGAAAGTATGTCGTCACAGGAGAGGTGAGTGTGTGCATATGTCTATCACATGGAGAACACAAAGATCTCCAGGGGGTCTGTAGCGTACGTGGATATGTCTATTGTATGGAACATTATTTTCTTAATAATAACCCTCCTCCTCCTCAGAGCGGTCACATGCCGGCGGTCAGGGTGTGGGACGTGTCCGAGCATGTGCAGATTGCTGAGCTGCAGGAACATAAATATGGAGTCGCCTGCGTTTCATTTTCTCCAAATGGGAAATTTATTGTCAGCGTCGGATTTCAACACGACATGATTGTGAACGTGTGGAACTGGAAGGTAACGGACCACCACTCCTCCTCCTCCTCCTCCTCCTCCTCCTCCTCCTCTATCTTCCTCACTCTTCTTTTCTCCTCCATCTTCCTCCTCCTTCCTCCTGCTCTTCTGTCCTCTTTCCTCCTCTATCCTCCTCCTCCTCTATCTTCTTCCTAAGTTCTATCCTATCCTATCCTTTCTAAGTTTGATTTTGTCAGGAAACTGTTTCTTGCTTGTTGACAGATGTTCTTTTTTCAGAAAAACGTCCTGGTTGCAGCCAATAAGGTGTCGAGTAAGGTGACCGCCGTCTCCTTCTCTGATGACAGCTCCTACTTTGTGACCGCCGGCAACCGACACGTCAAGTTTTGGTACCTGGACCACTCCAAGACCTCAAAGGTTCACCTGCCAGTCACATGACCATCAGCTGATAAGGACCACATCCTGTTTGATTACTAATACCCCTGATTATCTCTCTACCTGTCTCTCTCTCTCTCTCTCTCTCTCTCTCTCTCTCTCTCTCTCTCTCTCTCTCTCTCTCTCTCTGAACCTGTCTCTATCTCTCTCTCTCTTTCTCTCTCTCTCTTTCTCACCTGACTCTCTCTCTGAACCTGGCTGTCTCTCCCCACTTTTCTTACCCCCCTGTCTCTCTCTCTCTCTCTCTCTTTTCCCCCTGTCTCTCTCTAAACTTGTCTCTCCACCTGTCTCTCTCTCCCTCCCTGTCTCTCTCTGTCTCTCTCTCAACCTATCTCTATCTCTCTCTCTCTTTCAACCTGCCTCTCTCTCCCCACCTGTCTCTCTCTCCCCACTTTTCTTACCCCCCGTCTCTCTCTCTCTCTCTCTCTCTCTCTTTCCCCCATCTTTCTCTCTCTCTGAACCTGTCTCGCTCTCTCCCGCCCCCTGTCCCTCTCTCTCTGTCTCTCTCTCTCTCTCTCTCTCTCTCTCAGGCGAATGCAACAGTCCCTCTCATGGGGCGTTCAGGGTTGCTGGGAGAGCTCAGGAATAACTTTTTCAGTGATGTGGCGTGTGGGCGGGGTAGACAGGCCTCCTCCACCTTCTGCATCACCTCCTCCGGTCTGCTCTGTGAGTTCAATGACCGCCGCCTCCTTGACAAGTGGGTGGAGCTTCGGGTGAGTGTGAGCACTCGTTACAGGATGTTTCCATGATGACTGTAAATCAAACAGTAGGCGTGTCGTCCTTTCACAGTAGACTGTAGACGCCATAGTTTTAACGCCACCATCAGGATACAGTCCTACACACACGCCATAGTTTTAGCACCACCATCAGGACACATTCCTACATACACGCCATAGTTTTAGCGCCACCATCAGGACACATTCCTACATACACGCCATAGTTTTAGCGCCACCATCAGGACACATTCCTACATACACGCCATAGTTTTAGCGCCACCATCAGGACACATTCCTACATACACGCCATAGTTTTAGCGCCACCATCAGGACACAGTTCTACATACACGCCATAGTTTTAGCGCCACCATCAGGACACATTCCTACATACACGCCATAGTTTTAGCGCCACCATCAGGACACATTCCTACATACACGCCATAGTTTTAGCGCCACCATCAGGACACAGTTCTACATACACGCCATAGTTTTAGCGCCACCATCAGGAAACAGTCCTACATACACGCCATAGTTTTAGACTATGGTCTTATTTAAACATTTTTAACATTAAAGATGAACTTTGACCCACACTGTGTTTCTTAGACTTCCAGGTAAACACTCACCTGATGCAGTGATGTCACAGTGAAGTCCAGGGAGCTGTGACATCACTGGTGGGCGTGGTTACTCTGGAAGCTGAATATTTTTTATTGAATCAAAGCTTTTAATGTGAAGTTCCTCTGCTTCCTTCCTGCTTCCTGTGCAGAGAGTTGACTCCGTCCCCGTAAGTCTTCTTCTCAATTGGACTCAGTCTGTTTAGCCACACAACAAACTTTCATCAGTGATGCTATGCTACATGGCTAGCTGCTGTCTAGCTTACAGTTTATAGCAGAAAATGAGCAGCAAAAGAGCTAACTAGTGCTTATAACAGTTAATCACAGCAAATCAAAGCCTATTAAAGCTAACATCAGCTAATTAGCTGAGATTACTGTGTTTCTTTGGCTAATGATGAATTTACTTAAAGATTAGCACTGAATTGACTATATTCTAACAGCTCCTCATATGATGCTAGCTAGCTCTCATTGCTAATACTGATTTAAAATAAAATAATCTCCATAATGGATTTATCTAACTCTTCATGTTCCTAAAATTATATTCAAAATTTTGATCAGATTCTTGATCCTTGGCTGAACTGACTGACTCACACAAGTCCGCTTTCTTCCTCTCACTCCATTGATCAATTCATAGCCCCGCCTTGTCACTCATAACCAACTATTCATCTGATTGGCTGAAATATATATACACCCTGTTCACCGTTTATACACAGACGACCCGAACGCATCATCAGTCCAACCACGCTGCTCACCACTGTTAGACTAGCTTAGCATAAAGAGTGGAAACATGAGGAAACTGTTAGCTTTGCTTAGCATAAAGAGTGGAAACATGAGGAAACTGTTAGCTTTGCTTAGCATAAAGAGTGGAAACATGAGGAAACTGTTAGCTTTGCTTAGCATAAAGAGTGGAAACATGAGGAAACTGTTGGGGGGAGTGGCATGTAGTTGTTTTAGCCCAAACTGTTTTCCCTCATCCGGAGACAAAGCCAGGAGCTGGCTTTCTCTGCCTCTTCTCCCAGCTCCCTCAATGCTTTGTGCAGGTTTGACCCTGTCATGCCAGCACCATGGAGAAGTTGGAAGACTGCCCTGCTGACAAAGCCCTGGCATCAAACCTCCACAGGATAGACCTTAGCCTTCCAGTCAGCCTAGTGTCACTCCGCTGCCAGCTCGGAGTACTTCAGTTGTTTATTTTCATGGGCTGCTGTCATGCCTTCTACCCAGGGGATGGAAGTTCAATGATGAGGACCCTTCTCTCCACATGGAGAGACCACTGGACCACATAACGATGTCTGGCCGGAGGGTTGTTATTGTGATCTCTCAAGGGAAGACCAGCTGCTTTCTGAGGTCTACCATCATCTATATATGGTGTTACTGTCCTATCCCGATGATCAGAGAATGTTGCCTGGCTTGAGAAATGAGGGTAGTGTAGACATTGATGTTTCTGGGGTAAGGTTTGCTGCTACCATACATCTCTCAAAGACCTCAGACAGCTTGGCAAGGACTTGATCATGGTGCCACCTGAATATTCCCTGGGTCAGTGCCACCTTGCATCCTGATAATGTAAACTGAAAGATTGCCTGACAGTTGTTAGACAGAGGGCAACCAACTTCACTTCCGAATTACAGGGTGAGGTTCCGGGGGCATAGGAGGGTGTCGTAAGCGGCCTTTAATAAGAAGCTGAGTCTGGCTTGTGGCGTCCTTCAGATGTCTGCCCAGCTGATGCACCTCTTCACAGTAGAGTCCCATCGTGTCCACGTTTCTTGACGGCCCTGCAACACTGCCTTCATGTAAAATCGCGAACCTGTTGAGAACTGCTATGTAACTTCCCCAGCCTAGCCCAGTACAGCTAGTCTGGACTGCCCTAATCACTTCCCTGCGTTGCAGACTGGAGATGGCGCGGCCTACCTGAGCCTGTGCCTAACACTTCTTGCCTGTGCGGATGGGTATTCTTGCACTTCATTGGAGGCTCTAGCATGTTCCGGCCAAAGAGGCCAGCATCTGAGAAGCAGCAGGGCAATCCCAACCACCTTCAGACATAGTTGTAAGCTAGGATGGCCATCCTGCTTACCTCTGATGATGGACTGATGCTGACCTTTAGTGGCCCCAAAACCTGATGTGTGTGTTGACAGCACAACACTTTGTACTTCTTTGGCAGTTGGCATTGGTCAGTCTTCGCTAGGCCCTCCGCAAATTGTTGCTTGGCTAGCTTCCCCATTTGTCTGTCGGACAGGGCTGCAGTATATAGCCTCCACAGACTCTTGATTGATTTTTCTGCCAGCCATGGGATAGGCTCTCCACCAGGAACAAAGATGGTCTGTGGCTACCCTTTCCTTAACATCAACAGATTAAGGTAATAAAAACATGAGAGAATATAGCATACTTATATAGCCCATTCTTTATAACATGCAATATGATTATATATAGTCTAAATATGTTTTAAAGTCTTGTGTCTAAGACGATAAACTATGTTTTACTTAACATTAGTTCTGTAGATCGTATGAAAACATAGATCGAATCAAACTGTCACCAGAAATTAAATGGACATTCATTTGATGCACAAAATTAAGCAATTTGGTGGAAGCAAATTGTTCCTCTTGTCTCAAGCTGTAAAGTTAAGTGAGATAGTCCAGAGCCCATAAAACAAAGGAGGCAATCTCCTGGTGGGTTAATTGTTAAGCAGTCAGGATGTCTCTTGACCTCGTCTCAGTTGTAGTTCCGAGGTCGTTCCCAGAGATTGTGAGCAATCAGTTGTAATTCACAGTTTGAATGTTTACACAAGAGTCATAGGAGATGTCCTGGTTCCTGGTCAGTTTTTACCTACAGGATGTTTGATCCAGTGGTTAACTGAGAGGGGGGAGTTCTGTCAGTTTGTTCTGCATCTGGTTCCATTACAGAAGGTAGCTGAAGTGTCTGTCGATGATGTTCGGGACACAATTAGGGACATGCAAGAATTCCATGGCAAAGCCTATCAGCTTGTGCGTCACTGATTCATACGCTTTGACAAGGTATTGCAACAACACATGCAGGTCGCTCTTCTCTTGTATAGATGTATTCATTTGCCAAGAGGAAGTTGGCCATTGTCCTTGCCAAAACAGCAAACAAAATGTTCCACTTGATCTTGTTGATCCTCCCTGGCTGCTCTGTTATCTGACTTTTGGGGCATGCCTTTGGTAGGTTGGTGTTCTCATCTAGGCTGGGTAACAACTCCATCACATGCTTCTTTCTGCTACTTCCACCATTCCATTGGGTCCACTTGCACTTGGGTTGCAATCCCGGCTTTGGATCCCCGTCCTCTTACCTGTTTTCAGAGTGCAAGGTTGCTGGTCTGTCTGCATTCTGCACTTCATCTTCCTCGGACGGATGTGTAGTCCACTACATGATGTCACCTTCTCCCATCCACAAATACAATTCCGGGGGATTTTTTCCATTGTTGTTACTTCTTGTTCCGTCGTGGTAGGCCCATCTTTCACCCCGCCACTCAGAAGGCCTTTGGGTTGTTTTCTCTTATCCTGGTACGTAGTCAACAACAAACATAATCAACAACATACTGTCTCTCTCTCTCTCTCTCTCTCTCTCTCTCTTTTCTCTCTCTCTCTTATCTCCCTCTGTCTGTCTTTCTCTCTTCCTCCTCTCTCTCTCTCTCTCTTTATCTTTCTCTCTTTCTCTCCCCCTCTCAGGTGTCTCAGGCCACCTGTCTGTCTGTCACAGACGAGATGATTTTCTGTGGTTGTTCTGACGGAATCGTTCGAGCATTTAGCCCTGTTAATCTACACTTTCTGTGCACTTTGCCCCGCCCACACAGTCTGGGAGTCGACATCACCAGTATGCTGGACGCCAGGTAACACACACACTAACACTAACACATGCATAGTCACATATAATTTGGCATTCTGCTGAAATGAATCTATGAGTCGTTCATGTATACCTGCTAGACTGGTTACCATGGAATCTGCTAAAGCATTCACTGAGAGTATCCCTGCATGCATTTGGGATCATCTCTACTCATCCTCCTTTTCTTCCTCCTCCTCAGTCAGCTGTTCTCCTGCAGGTCGGAGGCTCGTTACCCGGACACCATGGCGTTGACTTTTGACCCCAGCAGTCATTGGTTGTCGTGTGTGTATAACGATCACAGCGTTTACGTTTGGGACGTCAGAGACCTCCGTGACCCTCGCAAGGCAGGAAAACTTTACTCCGCCCTCTATCACTCGTCCTGCGTGTGGAGTCTGGAGGTGAGCGATAACAGTCGACCATGTCTGAATCTGATTGGTCCTGATACAAACATGAGTGATGAACACATCAACAACTTCAGGCTAGTTACCCTCACATGCTAACGTTACATTAGCATCAGAGTTTAAAAAAACAAAAAACAGCCTTTATTAATTTATTTTAATCCACATTCAGAGTCTCTCTGACTGCAGCTAAAGGCACACTTGCTGCACTGGGATTGGACCATCACTGTTTAGGGGGAGGAGTTAAACTGAGGTACTTCTGTTCTATTCATAAGAGCAGTTGAACGTCACTTCCGGCTCGCCAGAGTGACCACGCCCCCATTTGGGTGAAAACAAGCCCTGAGAATGTATCGGCGGTAGATCAGAAAACACTGGTAGCAGTGCGATTAAACGCGATTGCGAAGCTTTTTGTACTTGTACTTGTACTTTGTACAAACTATTTTAAAAACACAATTTAGTATCAGGTTTTCATTTACAAATGACAAAGGAGGGTAAAAGAAGAGCTGTGTGTGTTTGGACAGAAACTAGAGAGGATTAAAGTGGTAAATTGTGGGACCGCTGTCATTTTCCTGCTAGCTTTAAGGCAGCGATTGCTCCGTGACAGAAGAGAAGTCTTAATAGATTCTTCACACATATATTCACTAATGTATTATTTAAAAATAAAGATCCCTCTTGGGTAACAGGGTTAATAATTACTCATCAGGTGTTTAAAGTAAGTTTATGACTCCTCTGATGACTCGTTTGAGCAGTTTGATGGAGAGAGATTGAACAGACACTACATGGTTAATATTATACCGTTATGATGCCGATCTCTGTTCAGAAATGTCATATTTTAAATGTTTACATCACTTCTCATCAGATTTAGGCTCATACTTGCCGTTTTAAAGTATGGTTTTCGCTTTTTAAGACTTTAAATCGGTAATGACCCCAACTTGTCCATTAACCGCCAGATGGAATGATTTCACCCAGAAAGGGGCGGGGCCGGCATCGTTTGGGCAAAGTACCCGGATGGGTGGCTCTCGTGAATAGTTCCTATCTCCTCTGGTGTGTCCTACAGGTGTACCCAGAGGGAGAAAGGGGAGGAGTTGAGGGAGGTCTCCCACCCGGGTCATTCCTGTCCTGCTCCTCAGACAACACCATCAGACTGTGGAACCTGGACGGCAACAACGTCCTGAACAGGAACATCCTGAGCCACGTATGAAACACACCTGTTCATTTATATCAAACTACATTAATATAACATGTCATACACCTGTACATTAATATGACATGTCATACACCTGTACATTAATATCACACTACATACACCTGTACATTAATATAACATGTCATACACCTGTATATTAATATGACATGTCATACACCTGTACACCTGTACATTAATATAACATGTCATACACCTGTACATTAATATAATGTATCACACACCTGTACATTAAATAACATGTCACACACCTGTGCATTAAATAACATGTCACACACCTGTACATTAAATAACATGTCACACACCTGTACATTAAATAACATGTCACAGACCTGTACACCTGTACATTAATATAACATGTCATACACCTGTACACCTGTACATTAAATAACATGTCACACACCTGTACATTAATATAACATGTCACAGACCTGTACACCTGTACATTAATATAACATGTCATACACCTGTACATTAATATAACATGTCACACACCTGTACATTAAATAACATGTCACACACCTGTACATTAATATAACATGTCACAGACCTGTACACCTGTACATTAATATAACATGTCATACACATTTACATTAGTATAACATGTCACACACCTGTACATTAATATAACATGTCACACACCTGTCCTCACCTGTAGTGCTCTTTCTGACCTTTGACCCCTAAGGACCTACAGAAGGTAATTTACGTGGAAGACAACATCAACTGCCTGCTGGACACAGAAAGCTCCTGCTCAATCACCGGGGGCAACTCAGAAAAGGCGGGTCCTTCAGAGGGGCAGCAGGCTGACCTGAGCAGGATGGGTATCAGGACCTTGGGGGTCAGTCCTGATGGACTACACCTGGCCTCTGGAGACCGCATGGGAGTCCTCAGGTAAGGGTGGGGCTCAGTGCAGGGAGGAGCGGGGTTTAGTGTAGGTAGAGGGGACAGGGTCTGAGTATGAACAGGTAGCAGACGTGCTGATAAGGAAGGGTTACCTGTGTGTTCAGGATCCATGACTTGGACAGCATGGAGGAGATTCTAAACGTTCAGGCTCACGACTCAGAGATCCTCTGCCTCGAGTTCTCCAGACCTGACACAGGTGAGACACCTGCAGCTCTTTATGACTTCACACACCTGCAGGCAAGTGCAAACAAACAAACACATGTCTGTCTTCCTGCTTGTTTGGAGATCGACTCACTACCTGAGCTACCTCGCCCCTCCCTCTATCTCTCCTCCCCCCCACTCCATCTCAGGTCTCCAGTTATTAGCCACAGCCGGTCGGGATCGTCTGATACATGTGTTGGATGTGGGTAGGGACTACAGTCTGGTTCAGACTCTGGATGAACACTCGTCCTCCATCACGGCTGTCCGATTCGCTGGTAAGTCATGTGACCTGTAACCTCAGTGTGATCAGTGTGTGTGTCTGTCTGTCTGTCTGTCTGTCTGTCTGTGTCTTTATGTGACATTTTCTTTTTCCTGTCTTTCAGCCAATCAGGGGAAAGTGAGGATGATCAGCTGTGGAGCTGATAAGAGTGTCTACTTCCGCACGGCTCAGCAGGTGAGTGAAACCTGAGTGATGTCACTTCCTTCTGTCAGGCCCCTTATCTACAAAGTAAATGTTTTTATACAGGAAATGTTTTTTTTTTAAGGCAGCTTCTGTGCTCACCCTGCTGGTGAACCAGAAACAAGCACTTTAGCGTTGATTGTGAAGGTTGATATCAAACTTCTAACGTCCAGGTGGAGGAGGGGTTAGAGTTCACTCGTACTCATCACGTGGTGAGGAAGACCACTCTGTATGACATGGACGTGGAACCGACCAGGAAGTACGCAGCCGTTGGCTGTCAGGACCGCAGCATCAGGTAACACACACACGTCAGAGTCTGTATTTGAGTGTGTATTTATGATGGTGAGTAGGACCGCACGATATATTGTTTCATCATCCTCACCGCGATGTGCCCATACGCCATGATGATGATGATGAAGATGGTGGTGATGGTGATGATGAAGATGGTGGTGATGATGATGGTGATGATGAAGATGGTGATGATGAAGATGGTGATGATGAAGATGTGTGGTGATGGTGATGATGAAGATGATGCTAATGATGGTGATGATGAAGATGGTGGTGATGGTGATGATGAAGATGGTGGTGATGATGATGGTGATGATGAAGATGGTGATGATGAAGATGGTGATGATGAAGATGTGTGGTGATGGTGATGATGAAGATGATGCTAATGATGGTGATGATGAAGATGGTGGTGATGGTGATGATGAAGATGATGGTGATGATGAAGATGGTGGTGATGGTGATGATGAAGATGATGGTGATGATGAAGATGGTGATGATGAAGATGGTGGTGATGGTGATGAAGATGTTGTATGTTTACAGGATCTTTAACATCAGCAATGGCAAACAGAGGAAGGTGTTTAAGGGCTCTCAGGGCGAGGACGGGACTCTTATCAAGGTGCATTCAGAGGCCGCCTGCTGTTACCATGGTGATGTGTAGATAAAGCAGCAGGTGTTATTGCTGACTTCTCCCCTTGTTCCTTCCTCCTCAGGTGCAAATTGACCCGTCAGGACTCTACATCGCCACCTCCTGTTCAGATAAAAATATTAGCATATTCGACTTCTACTCTGGAGAGTGTGTGGCCACCATGTTTGGACACTCAGGTAACACTCAGTCCCTCCAGTCTAATCATTTCTCCATCCCAGTCTCATCGTTCAGTCCATTTTTGAATTGTTAATAATTTTGTGTAATTGTTGGTGTGTGTGTCTGTGTGTGTGTGTGTCTCAGAGATTGTAACAGGTCTGAAGTTCAGCAGTGACTGCAGACACCTGATCACTGTGTCAGGTGACAGGTATGCCTCACTGCCACACTCTTTGATTTTAGTAATTTTGAAACACATCAGGAATTAAAAGTGTGTGTGTGTGTGTGTGTGTGTGTGTGTGTGTGTGTGTGTGTGTGTGTGTGTGTGTGTGTGTGTGTGTGTGTGTGTGTGTGTGTGTGTGTGTGTGTGTAGTTGTATCTTTGTGTGGCGTCTCCCTCCTGAGTTGACCATCAGGATGAGGCAGCGACTCTCTGACCTTCGACCTCCCAGCAGCATTCATAGCTCCCAGAATGCACCTCAGCAGAGATTGGTTAAGCTCAGGTGACATAACCTGCTCGATGTTTGTTTATGAGCGCACACTCGCTCACAGCCACACAACACAAGAGCGAGCGTGCGCTCCTCTCTTCTTCCACTATTAATGATTCTCCTGCACCTTCATCATATGTTCCTGATCAGCTGTTATTTCTCTGTGCATATAAATATATAAACAAATATAAATGTATGTAAAAATTAAGATATATACTTTGTGTGTGTGTGTGTGTGTGTGTGTGTGTTGCAGAGGGGAGGTGCTGTCTCCTCAAGTCGTCACAATGTTGTCTGACAGCGATAAGGAGGAAGAGGAGGAGCTTATCTGTCCTTATTTGGTCACAGCAGGAAGCCTGGAAGAGCAGACAGGTCTGTTACCATGGTTACAAGAAACTGGTGTTACAAACTAACAAGCTGCAGCTGATAAAATGAAGCGTGTGTTGTTTCCTCAGGACGGTGTGAGGAGAAGTTTGAGTCTGTGGACGACAGCAGGACGGTCAGTCCATGAATTCATATTATTTTATATTATTTCATATTTTCATTTAATTCAAAATGGTTTGTTATCATATGCAGAACGTCATTGACGAGGTTTCCTCTGATTTGTTGAAGTTTGATTTTTTTTTTAACTTTGCATCCAAAAATTTCAAGTGTTTAGTTTTCCTGTGAGGATTCATCAAGACTAGATGTGCTGTTCTTAACATGTTTAGACATGTTTCCTCTGAGCGCTCCGTGTTTCTCTGCGACTCCTCAGGAGGTGTCGGGGGGGCGACTGCCTCGCCGTCGGTGGTCCAGGAGGACAGGTGGTGCAGATGGAGCTCTGATGGTGAAGTCCATGTTGGACCTGCGTCTGCTGGACTCGTTCAGTCCGGACAAACAGGAGGAGCAGCAGGAGGTCAGAATGCTGCCAGACACAATTTCACACCAAACTCCACAAAACAATACAAATTCTACACGAGGTAAACATAGGGTAAACATGGCATCTGTCTCGCACCCACAGGGGAAGGCCTGCCCCTTCAATGTAAGCACCCCCCCCTGCAGCGAAAGGAGGAGGGACCAAGGTGTAGAAAGAGGGATTCATCGGATCAATCCAAAACTGGGGAGCACCGTCAGTCTGCAGGTCTCCTCTGCCTGGGTGAGCACACGCACTGACCTCAAAGGCCACTGATGAGCCGTGTGCGGATTAGGTTTATTGTCAAGTGTCCTCAAGAGTCCTCATGTGTTACAGGAGTCCTCAGGTATTGTGTGTGTCCTCAGGAATCATAAGGTGTCCTCAGGGGTTGCAAGAGTCCTCAGGTGTATTCAAGTTACCTCAGGTGTTGTAGGAGCCCTGAGGTGGCCTCAGGAGTTGCAGGGGTCCTCAGGTGTCCTCGGATGTATTCAGGTGTCCTCAGGTGTCCTCAGATATCCTCAGGTGTCCTCAGATGTATTCAGGTGTCCTGAGATGTATTCAGGAGTCCTCAGGTGTCCTCAGGTGTTGCAGGAGTCCTCAGGTGCTGTTTAGTCACATGACAGATAAGGTCATCAGTAAAGCGTAAAGGTTTCAAATTATTTTTGTTTCCAACACTTTATCACAACAGTCAGTTCCCTAGGTACATTCTGAAGTCTTCTGCTCTGATTGGTGGAGTTAATGGTGTGTGATGTGTCCAACAAGGTGGAGGACAATGAGGCAGGGACCAATCAGAGACCTGACTTCATCCAACTGTCCAATCAGAGCCCAGACAGGGAGGATCCAGTCCTGTACCCTGACCACTGGGAGGACAGAGTGAGCCTTGCAGGAAGGTAGAACTGTTTCCTGATTTCATCATCTGCAGAGTCTTTTTGTGTTAACCTGCCCCTCTAAACCACGCCCCTTCCGGTCAGTGAGTTTCAGGTGAAGGAGCCGTGTCCTAGTGCTGCAGGTGGACGACCTGATAAGCCCAGTCCTGACAGCGGCTGCTCACTCGGATTCAACTCAAGACTGTCAAGTCCAGCACGACCTGCAGAAGAAGGGGAGACAGGTACAGAGACAGATACAGACAGACAGATACAGACAGAGAGACAGGAACAGAGACACAGATACAGACAGAGAGACAGATACAGACAGATACAGAGAGAGCGGAACAGAGAGAGAGATATAGAGACAGAGACACGAAAAGAGAGACAGATACTGAGAGAGAGAGATGAACAGAGAGACAGATACAGAGAGCGATAGAACCCATTTTTCTGTATGGTTGTGAGCTCTGGGGTCCTCTCGCACACTAAGATTTTTCAAAATGGGACAAACACCAAATTGAGACTCTGCATGCAGAATTCTGCGGAAAACGGAAAACCCCAAATAATGCATGCAGAGCAGAATTAGGATGATACCCTTTAATCATCAAAATTCAAAAGAGAGCTTTTAAATTTTATAACCATTTAAAAGAAAGTGACCCTGACACGCTCCATTACAAAGCCCTGACCTCCAGAGAGTCTTCAGAGAGCTGCCCCCTCAGACACCTGGTTCTGGGACTGTACTCCCAAGCAGAGCCCTCAGACAGAAACCCAATCAGAATTAACCAAAGTATTAAAAAACAAAAAGAAAATTATTGAACACATTGGACAGAATCAACCAAAAAACAAAGTAAATTAGAATGTTATCTGGCCCTACATAGAGATAACACAGTGGCAGAATATCTGAGCACTGTGACTGATCCAAAGCTGAGGAAATCTTTGACCACGTACAGACTCAGTGAACACGGCCTCGCCATCGAGAGAGGACGCCATCGACAGACCTGGCTCCCCTAAGAGGACAGAGTCTGCACCCACTGCACCCAGCATGAGGTGGAGACAGAGCTCCACTTTTTAACCACCTTGTCCTCTGTATCAGGACATCAGAGACACATTCTTCCCACTCATCACAAACACACACAAAGGATTTCACTTATTGGAAAACGAGCACAAACTGGTGTACCTGCTGGCTGAGGTACAACAGTGTGCAAACATTGCAGCACGTTATGTGAACGGCTGTGACCAGAAGAGAGCGCCCAACAGCTCCAAACCCCCGTGAACAAAACATACATTCCATCTGTAAATAACTGTACATACACACACCACAGAGCTGTACATACACCTTTAGTCTTTAAAAGATAATCTCTTTAAATCTTAATATTTTATATTTCTCTAAGTCATCTGTAGTCATCTGTAAATATTTTAAAAAGCTAAATGAAATGAAATTGTTATTATTATTATTATTATTTATTTATTTATTTTCTTTCTTCTTATATTTAAAAAAAAAAAAAACATAAACCTGCACAGCTCTGTTAGTTAAATATTTAATCTTTGGTATTCTTTAATTGTACGTAATTTTGTTAACATGTTAACATACTGTATGTTTTCCATGCTAATAAAGCCCTTTGAATTGAATTGAATTGAATTGAGAGATACAGAGCGAGAGAGAAAGAGAGAGACAGGTACAGAGAGACAGGCATTAGTATTCTGTCTCACTCATTCTCTTCTGTCGCTCTTGTCGGTCAGACGCCGAGCACACTGAGCGTCTCAGTGTGGATGGAAACTCCTCTGAGCTAGAGGACGACGATGAAGAGGAGGAAGGAGGAAGAGGAGGAGGAGTCAAGTCCTCTCAGGCCATCAAGTCTGTGCACAGAGAAAACCCATGTATAGGAAGTAGAGGAGGTGCTGCTGGAGCAGATGGTGAGTCAGAGGTAACAAACAAAGTGAAGGGCTGTGCTTGAGTCAGAGGGGGCAGGGCTTACAAACTGTCTTTGCCTGTTGCTTCCTGATAACTGGACCTATTAACTATGTTGACAGGAAGTCCGAGTCGAACTTGTCACAGCTCGAGTGAGAGTCTCAGCATGTCGTCCAGGTTCCTCTCTCAGACCTCAGCTGGAAGGTCCGCACCTCCTCTTTCCTCTGGGACGACCGGGGCAGGAGGGGGAGTGGAAGGAGGGGGGGTGGTTAAAGCCCGTCCTCTGGTCTCTGAGGTCCGACCTCTGATGGAGAAAAACCAGACCAGAACCCAGGACAGGAGGGTGTCATGGCAACAGGACCAAACCCAGAATCAGAGCCATGACCAGACTGATCCTCATGCCCTGAACAAGAAGAGCCAAACAACCATGGAATCCAGTAGGAACCCGGGCACAGCTCAGACCACCTCCCCCCACATAAACCCCACCACATCCTACACAAACCCTGCCTCCTCTGGGCTCCGGAAGGCTCACTCAGTCCAGAGTCTGCTAGCTGACACAGGTAAGAATGCAGGCAGGCAGACAGACAGACAGACAGACATTTCAATGGATGCTCGTTGTGATCCCCCAGGTGACTAGGTGTGTGTCCTAGAGATACAGACTCTGACCTCAAAGGGAGAAAGGACGTAAACCTGTGTGGGGCGAGTTGATGGTGCAGTGTTGGGGGTTCAGGAGCAGGTTGTGATCAACAGTTATAATGCAGCAGAGAGAGGGGCGGAGCCATCATCAGCTGGTCAGCTCTGACCAGAGCAGATTCTGTGCCGTGGCCGAGCAAACACCAGACTGCAATTCTGCTTCAGCGCTGTTAAGAGGCGCCACCGTCATTACATCTTAAAGAGGACATATTATCCCCCTTTCCCACATTTTCAAACAGTCCCCTGTGGTCTAAATGAAACATATGTGCTGTGCTTTGGTCAAAATATAACATGAATCAAGCACCAGAGGAGGTTTGTGACCCTGTATAAACCAGCTCTCTCAGAATGCTCCGTTTTGGTGTGTGTGTCTCTTTAAATGCAATGAGCATTTGACATCACAGGATGACAAGGAGAGTAAATTTGAAACAGCATTTTTCTCTGTGTTGTAAGACCACAATCAAAGGACTGGATGGGTTTATTTCACATTTTGTGGGTCAGTTGACACTCAGGTTACACAAATATATGTTCAGAAACACTGTACAAGAGGATTTTTCAGAATATGTCCCCTTTAAGATGTTCATATTGATTCCACAGCAGCGGATTATTGATGTCCCATGCGGTGAATTTACGTTGCCTTATGGCGTTGTGAGGGCGTTAAGAGAGCACAGTACAGCAGGAGCTCCACATACACACAGTCAGACATGCGCACTCACACACACAGCGCTGTTCTCGCCCGCTGGCTCCGCTGATCCTGTCTCTCCTCTGTAACGCCTCTGAAGACGGTACAGAGGAGGATCACTTCATCCCCTTATTACACCTCCAAGACATTCAGATTGAAGGCTTCTTAAAGGAACACTTTGTCACCCCGTCACAGGGGTGTAAATATGGCGGCTTGAGGTGGCGCTCTTAAGCTTTATAGAGGAAACACAAAAAAACACTTGGACTTAAACTCTCTCTCTCTCCCTCAGGTGACTCTTCGACCTCTTGTTCTTCCAGAGATGTCCCCCCTCAGCAGCTCCTCCCCCTCCAGCGTCCTACCACCCTCCCCTCCTCCCCTAGACGTCCCCCATCCATAGCCATGCCCCTGCAGAGACCATGCCCCGCCTCCCCAAGGTCCCCACTGCCTGAGACAGCCGTCATCTCCTTGTCTGCTGGCTCCACTCCTAGGAAGTCCCCCCCTCCCTCTTCCACCTCCTCCCCCGCCCAGTCAGCATCTCGCTCCTACATGAGCCCGACGGCCAGCTCCATGGCAAAGATGTCTCGCTCCATCTCGATGGGCGACGGCCTCAACATCTCTGACCCCTTAGAGGGTCAAGCAGTGACATCATCAACAACTACGCCCTGTCAGGTCAAAGAGGCTCCGCCCCCTCTTGTTGCAGTGGTGCCTTCAAATGCATCTCTAGCCACACCTCCACATGCTACTGTCGTACCTGTAGTCCTAGCCTCCCCCTCCTCTTCCTCTCTGGGTAACCATGGTAACCAGGCAAATCTTCCCCCCACGGGGCCTGCAGGCACGTGTCCCCGGCAGCAACAGGCCACTTCCGGATAAGCCCTCCCTCGCCTCCTTGTCTTCCTCGCCGCGGCCTCCACCATTCTCTGTCTCCCCTCTGACTCTGCCCAGACAGGAGGAGGAGCCTCAGACTCCTTCAGGCAGCGAGGAGAGAGAGCACACAGGTTTGAACCCTCCTCCTTCTCTTCATCCTCTTGTCTGACTCCGCCACTCTCCTTTATCCGCCTTCTCTGAATCTCGTCTGACTCCGCCCATCTCCTTTATCCGCCTTCTTTGAATCTCGTCTGACTCCACCCATCACCATCATCCTCCTTCTCTTCATCCTCTCGTCTGACTCCGCCACTCTCCTTCATCAGTCCTCTCTTCATCCTCTCGTCTGACTCCGCCCCTCTCCTTTATCCTCCTCTTCATCACTGCACTCCTCCTCCTCTCACTGTGATGTCTGATTTTGACATCGTCATGAAACATGTAAACTGACCCCTCTCTCTGCAGACGAGCGAATCAGCATCGAGTCCTGCAGAGTTCTGACCAATGAGCTGCAGTGTTGCTTCAGGAAAGCGACACACCTGTACAGAAAGGTGAGTTTTAATTGTTTTTATAAAAACCTTTTATCATCATTGCCGTAGAAACCTTTGCTGACTGGTCCATCTATCTCCCCCAGGTAAGCGGCTCCTCCTCTGATGACTCCGCCCCTGACCAGCATCAGATTGCTTTTGTCCTATCAGAGGCCTTCCAGGCGATGAGGGCGGAGCTTGACTGCCTGCCGCTCAAGACACCAAGCATGCTGGGAGGAGAGGGGGGGCTGGGAGGAGTTGGGGGGGTGAGGACGGCAGCTCTGCTGGAGGAGTACTCACTGCTCCTCCTGCAGGCTGTGAACAGGAGGGTCAACAGCCACACTGAGTAGACTCGTTCTCCTCCTCCTCCTCCTCAGATGAAGGATCTGAAGCCATTTTGTTTTTCTCTTCACTTCTGTCGTCTTATTGGAGAATCTTTGTCTTCTTAAAGGAACAGCACATTGAAAGATTCCGTTTTTTAGAGACTAAACTTTATATCGACTTGTTTTTTAAAGACGTTTTTTCTGCACGTTTTTTTCCTATTTTCATTCCAGAACAAGTCGACAGATTATTATTATTAGACTGTAGAGACTGAGAAAACAGCAATATGAGATGTTCGGCACAAACTTTGTTTCTTTAGTTGTGAATGTTCTCTCCTGAGTTCACTTGAATGTAACACAGACGATGCGTTCAGGTGACAGTTTGTATTTATTATGTTGAGCTGTTACAGACTGTGAATGATTATGTTCATTTTTTACATGTTAGAGGAACACTGTAGAGGGTCTTTGGTTTAATAGTTGTAATGGAAAGGTCAAGTTCAGCTCCAAATATTTTTATGTTTTCAGGTCAAGTTGAATAAATCTTCAGACTTGTTTTAAGTTCTGTTTTTCCTGTTCTTTCTTCTCGACTTCTCCTAAAGCGGCTACATGTGTCTGTTCACCTCTCACTCCTACTCTCGTCTTTGGACCGTTCAGATGGCGAACAGCAGGAAGCCCGAGAACACGCTGAAGTTTCGGACGTCATCGTAGAGTCGGTAGCTGGCTGGCAGACTGAGGCGGACCTCGTCACCCGCCTCCAGTTGCAGTGCCACACCGTTAGATGTGGAGGCGTAGCCGCCATGGTCGTTCAGGTCCAGGTTGAAAATGATTGGTAGATTGTTCCTGTACAGGTGGAGACCCATGTAACCTTTCTGGTAATCTGCTGCCGTGAAGCTGAAGAAATACAGTCCTCTGACAGGAGCCCTGAACACACCTGTCAGACACAGAGCAGGTTACAGTAAAGACACCTGTCAGACACACAGCAGGTTCAAATAAACACACCTTTCAGACACAGAACAGGTTACAGTAAACACCCCTACTCTGTGGGAGGTTTACCTGCTCTGTGGTAGGTTTACCTGTTGTCTGGTTGTATGCATTGCCGATGTCTGTGATGACTTTGGAGAAGATCAGAGTCCTCTCCTCATCAAACGGTCCGACTGGTCCTGAATCAGTCAGACCCGCTGAGAACGCCACCTTCTGGTCATCTGCAGGAAAAAGTTCATGTTTTTGGTTTAATGCTAAGAAATATTTTAGTTAAAAAAATGTATTTTACAGAGAAATAAACATCTAAGTTTGGGGAAGTTGCTGAATTAGCTCTAAATAATAATTATCTTTAATGAATGATTTGATATCAAACGAGAACTTGTCAGACTCATGTTGTCAGGTCACTTGAATGGGTCCACACTAATACATTACAATTTTTATTTAGCCTATAATCAGCTAGTTGAGGTTAGCATGAGTTAAATATTTAGTAACAAGAAGCAACAAGCTGAAAGTGATCTGCATTAGTATATTAGAAGGACAGGTTTATAGAGCTCACATCACATTATCGTTGTAATCTAAATGTTTATGGTTAAAAACAGAAACCATAAGTTTGGAGTTCAAAGATCAAACCTGCAGTTGTGTTTGTGAGAGAAAGACCACTGAAGGATTCATTCAGTCTGACACCCAAAGCTGAAAATCAGAAACACAGCTTATATAAAAACTTCAAACTGGGGATTGATGCTGTACTAATCCTTTTCTACCAGCAGGGGGGCATAGTCTTTGAGATAAATATGGTCAGTGTTACCTGTGATTTCAGTCTTCAGGTCTTCCAGCTGTTTCTCTCTGACTCTCAGTCTGACCTCCAGCTCTGAAGAACAAACAGTTATTTATGAAGGAGTTCCTCAGAGAAACGTGTTGGATCCTCTAAAGTTTCCCTAAACTTAATTTCTTAGCGCTTCAGTACATAAATAAATACAGTAGAGTCATATAAAGTAAGTTATTCATGAAGGAGTTCCTCAGTTAATGTGGGTGTGGGTGATATGTCTGTGCAGTAGGACTGTAGTGAGTGCATGTTGTCTGCGGATTCTGCAATGATGACTCGATACGCAGGGGCAAAATGATAACTTGATACACAAGGCGCCATTATGATTGGATACATGGGGCTCAATGATGGCGTAATGATGACTCGATACACGGACAGCTACATTGGATGGATGCTACGCCAGAATACTGCGGGTAGTTCTGAACATCCACTAGGACTCACACATCACCATCAAGGAGCTATATGGGGGGTTATGTGGAGTGACTGAGGAAAAATAATCCAGGAGGATAAGCATTGGTAGTTACAGCGGGAATCCTCAGGGAGCCATGCTGGGTCCTGCAGAGTTTCAGTCCACATGTTGATTTGTTGACTGTGCTGCAAACTCTCTATCACAATAAGACAGTATATACTGTAAAGAGTGAGTTTAAAGCGATGTTACCAGTGAATGTTGGATCCTCTAAAGTTTCATTACACTTAATTTCTTTGAGCTTCAGAATAAATAAATAAATACAGTAGAGTCATATAAAGTAAGTGTTAAATATTCAGTGTTACCTGTGTTTTCAGTCTTCAGGTCTTCCAGCTGTTTCTCGCTGACTCTCAGTCTGACCTCCAGCTCTTAAGAACAAACAGTTATTCATGAAGGAGTTCCTAATAGAACCGTGAACAAGTCTTTTTTTTTTGTTCTTGCTTTTTGGATGTTTTCATAAAGTGTTTAAAATCGCTTTATAAAAAAATGTATGTGATTTTGTAACATTATAAAGTAAGTCTTCTGATCTTTTTCACTTCAGAGACCAAAAACCCTTTTCATTCTTTTCTGCATTGTTTCTATTGGTGTTAGACTCACCGGAGCTCTGGTTCTCTGCAGCTTCCAGTCTGGAAGAAAGTCCAGTCAGCAGAGTGGTCTGAGCTGCACACACATACAAAGTAAACACACACTCTTAAGCTCGCTCCGCCTTTGAAGAGCGATGATTAGAACAAGTGAAGAAGTTCCATCATAACTCGCTGTCACTCCAACACATTCCTTCTTCATGTGATAGCTTAAATGTGTTACCTGATGTCAGTGAATGTATTGTGACAGATTACCTGTGTTACCTGATGTCAGTGAATGCATCATGACAGGTTACCTGTGTTCTGAGTCCACAGCAGGTCGAGCTGCTCCTCACTGATGTTCAGTCTCAAAGTCATCGCAGACAGCGCCCCCTGCTGGACTGAAATCAGATTTGACTTTAATTAGAATTCTGATTTAAAAGAAAACAATGAAAGAACATAGATACATAAATATATATATATATCCTATATAACAATGAAAGAACAATGAAAGATTACCTGTGTTACCTGATGTCGGTGAATGTATTGTGACAGATTACCTGTGTTACCTGATGTCAGTGAATGCATCATGACAGGTTACCTGTGTTCTGAGTCCACAGCAGGTCGAGCTGCTCCTCACTGATGTTCAGTCTCAAAGTCATCGCAGACAGCGCCCCCTGCTGGACTGAAATCAGATTTGACTTTAATTAGAATTCTGATTTAAAAGAAAACAATGAAAGAACATAGATACATAAATATATATATATACCCTATATAACAATGAAAGAACAATGAAAGATTACCTGTGTTACCTGATGTCAGTGAATGTATTGTGACAGATTACCTGTGTTGCCCGATGTCAGTGACTGCATCGCGACAGGTTACCTGTGTTACCTGATGTCAGTGAATGCATCGTGACAGGTTACCTGTGTTCTGAGTCCGCAGCAGGTCAAACTGCTCCTCACTGATGTTCAGTCTTGAAGTCATCGCAGACAGCGCCCCCTGCTGGACTGAAAACAGATTTGACTTTATTTAGAATTCTGACTGAAGGTCGACTGGAGGTTGACTGTGCAGATATTTCATGATTGTGAAAAAACATTTCACAACATGTAAAAGATTTAAAGAAACACAAAAACATTTTTCAGGGAAGGTGTTACAAATATAATACTATATAATTACTAGGTATTAATATAAAGTTATTAAATATATTATATATATTCTCACCCCCCCCCCCTCCTCTGGTTCCAAGGCTGACCGCCCTCTCTTGGCAGAAAACTCCACCCTCCACCCCATGATGCACCACAGAACGCCACAGGAGGTCATTCCTGCCTGTGGCCATCAAACTCTATCACCCTTCCCTTTGAGAATCAAACACTTCATCTGACCCTGGACTATTTCAGCCTGAAAAAAATTGAAAAACTGTAACCAGTCTGGAAGAGAGTCCAGTCAGCAGAGTGGTCTGAGTTGCACACACACACACACAAAGTAAACACACACTCTTACGCTCGCTCTGCCTTTGAAGAGCGATGATTAGAATAAGTGAAGAAGTTCCATCATACCTCGCTGTCACTCCAACACATTCCTTCTTCATGTGATTGGCTCATGAAGCTGATTCTGCCAATCACATGGTTAGTGTGTGTGTGTGTGTGTGTGTGGTGTACCTTCACGTTCAGTCTGCAGCTGGTTCACTGTGACCTCTAAAGCTCGGAGTCCGACCTGCAGCTCTGCAGCAAACACAGCTGATTCATTCAAAGAGTAAACACACAGAAAGTTTAACAATAATTTATACTTTATTAATCCCTCAAGGGGAAATGCGGTTTTACCTGATGCCAGTGAATGCATCGTGACAGGTTACCTGTGTTCTGAGTCCGCAGCAGGTCGAGCTGCTTCTCACTGATGTTCAGTCTTGAAGTCATCGCAGACAGCGCCCCCTGCTGGACTGAAATCAGATTTGACTTTATTTAGAATTCTGATTTAAAATAAAACAATGAAAGAACATATATATATATATATACCCTATATAACAATGAAAGAACAATTAAAGATTACCTGTGTTACCTGATGTCAGTGAATGCATCATGACAGGTTAAATGTGTTACCTGATGTCAGTGAATGCATCGCAACAGATTACCTGTGTTACCTGATGTCAGTGAATGCATCGCAACAGATTACCTGTGTTACCTGATGTCAGTGAATGCATCGTGACAGGTTACCTGTGTTACCTGATGTCAGTGAATGCATCGTGACAGGTTGCCTGTGTTACCTGATGTCAGTGAATACATCGTGACAGGTTACCTGTGTTCTGAGTCCGCAGCAGGTCGAGCTGCTTCTCACTGATGTTCAGTCTTGAAGTCATCGCAGACAGCGCCCCCTGCTGGACTAAAATCAGATTTGACTTTATTTAGAATTCTGATTTAAAATAAAACAATGAAAGAACACATATATATATATATATATGCCCTATATAACAATGAAAGAACAATTAAAGATTACCTATGTTACCTGATGTCATGTGAATGCATCGTGACAGGTTACCTGTGTTACCAGATGTCAGTGAATGCATCGCTACAGCTTACCTGTGTTCTGAGTCCGCAGCAGGTCGAGCTGCTCCTCACTGATGTTCAGTCTCAAAGTCACCGCAGACAGCGCCCCCTGCTGGACTGAAAACAGGTTGGACTTAATTTAGAATTCTGATTTAAAAGAAAAACAAGTGAACAATGAAAAAACATATATACTGTATATAAATGTATATATATACCCTATATAACAATGAAAGAACAATGAAAGATTACCTGTGTTACCTGATGTCAGTGAATGCATCATGACAGGTTAAATGTGTTACCTGATGTCAGTGAATGCATCGTGACAGGTTACCTGTGTTCTGAGTCTGCAGCAGGTCAAGCTGCTTCTCACTGATGTTCAGTCTCGAAGTCATCGCAGACAGCGCCCCCTGCTGGACTAAAATCAGATTTGACTTTATTTAGAATTCTGATTTAAAATAAAACAATGAAAGAACATATACCCTATATAACAATGAAAGAACAATTAAAGATTACCTATGTTACCTGATGTCATGTGAATGCATCGTGACAGGTAACCTGTGTTACCTGATGTCAGTGACTGCATCGCGACAGATTACCTGTGTTACCTGATGTCAGTGAATGCATCGTGACAGGTTACCTGTGTTCTGAGTCCACAGCAGGTCGAGCTGCTTCTCACTGATGTTCAGTCTCGAAGTCACCGCAGACAGCGCCCCCTGCTGGACTGAAATCAGGTTGGACTTAATTTAGAATTCTGACTGAAGGTCGACTGAAGGTTGACTGTGCAGATATTTCATGATTGTGAAAAAACATTTCACAACATGTAAAAGGTTTAAAGAAACACAAAACATTTTTCAGGGAAGGTGTTATAAATATAATACTATATAATTACTAGGTATTAATATAAAGTCATTAAATATATTATATATATTCTCACCCCCCCCCCCCCCACCCCTTTGGCTCCAAGGCTGACCGCCCTCTCTTGGCAGAAAACTCCACCCTCCACCCCATGATGCACCACAGAACGCCACAGGAGGTCATTCCTGCCTGTGGCCATCAAACTCTATCACCCTTCCCTTTGAGAATCAAACACTTCATCTGACCCTGGACTATTTCAGCCTGAAAAAAACTGAAAAACTGTAACCAGTCTGGAAGAGAGTCCAGTCAGCAGAGTGGTCTGAGCTGCACATACACACACACACAAAGTAAACACACACTCTTACACTCGCTCTGCCTTTGAAGAGCGATGATTAGAATAAGTGAAGAAGTTCCATCATACCTCGCTGTCACTCCAACACATTCCTTCTTCATGTGATTGGCTCATGAAGCTGATTCTGCCAATCACATGGTTAGTGTGTGTGTGTGTGTGTGTGTGTGTGTGTGTGTGTGTGTGTGTGTGTGTGTGGTGTACCTTCACGTTCAGTCTGCAGCTGGTTCACTGTGACCTCTAAAGCTCGGAGTCCGACCTGCAGCTCTGCAGCAAACACAGCTGATTCATTCAAAGAGTAAACACACAGAAAGTTTAACAATAATTTATACTTTATTAATCCCTCGAGGGGAAATGCGGTTTTACCTCGTGTGAGAAAGCCTGACTAGAGCTAACGAGCCTGCTCAGACACGTAACGAGCTCGGACCGTATAAAGCACGTGGCTTACATGCTGCAGAGCGAAGTGTAGGAGGAGCAGAGCAGCTGCAGGAGCAGCCTGGACATTTAAGTTATATGTTTGTGCGTTAATGCAGAAAAGAGTAAGTTTGTTCATATTTACTTGATCTAGTTTCATATATGTACTTACTAAAGTTATTATCTTCATTCTATTCCAGTTAAATTGCATCAAGTTTTTCTTTGATACATTTTTCAAGATTGGTTGTTATTGCAAAAGGGACATCATATATTGTATATGCTATGATGCACATTTGTGTTACCTACATATATATTTTTTTTCCTTCTTTCCTTTAGAACCACACACACATACATACACACACGAAGATATGTAGATTGATCCTCATAACTACACGGAACCACGAATGAGACACGAGACACAAGATATGCCAATCTCCTTTGTTCAAAGTGGCCTCTGTAAATCTACGTGTCTGTCACGGAATAAAACCCTTGAGCTGTGAATCCTCTCTGCTGTCCTGATTCTCTGACCGGAATCATTTTCCATATCTGCCAACCCAAACTAAAGAACTTTCCAAAGGTTCAACCTTTATTTCATGGTCCTTCGAGCCGGATTTGGGTTCACCAGACGATATGGATACAGCTGCAGATGTACCGGAGAGCGCAGGGCGTCCACACAGGACTCATCGTCTTCCTTCCCACCTTGCTGATTACGAAGTTGGATATCGCCACAATGAGGATCAGCCTGTTCAGCCTCCTACTCGCCCACAGAGCCATAGTAGTGGTAAAGCAAGGATATCTTCATCTACCAGTGATAGCCATTTCAGCAGTCGATCAAGCAGGTGTCACACTGCATCATCTGTTCTAAACCACGCTGTAGCATCTCTTTCCAACGTACAGGCAGCTCAATTAGAAGAGAGGACGAAAGCTTTGCAGCTGGAGGAAATAAGATTTCAAATAGAGGACGATATCAATGCAGATATACAATGCCGAGAGCTGGATGCTAAGGCCAGAGAGGCCCAATGTATTCAGGAGGAAGCAGCACGGGCTTGTGAGGCTCTGGTCAAACGGCTAGATAGAAACCGTCGCCTCATTAAAGCTGAGAATGAATGGAAGCTCGCAAAACTAGTCTCTTCTATGGTATTAGAGGACAACCTTGAGGCCCCTGATGTGATAAACATTGCAGGTGATAATCCTTCGCCACATGTTTTACCAGCGGATGGAGCAGCTGTTTTCCCCTCAACTCATGACCAGTCAACCAGACCACCAGCTCTTGGTCTGACATCTACTCCTGCCTTTGGACCATTGATTGCACCTCAGACAAACACTGCAGCATCTGCAACCTCTCAATCCAACACGCCAGTTACTGGCCAACCCACGGATTTTCAAACCATTGCATTGCCAACGTCAGAATCTATGCGACCCTTGAAGACAGAGCATTACCCAGTCATTGCCCCCTATGGAGAAAGACAGACTTTTCCCTCAGCAGGTTCTCAGTCTACAACAGCTCCCACCTCTGATGTTCGGCAACGCCCTAAACTACCTCCTCCAGCACCGGTCCCAGGTCTCTTTCAGCATTCGTCTGTGCTGCCACCTGCAAAGCGTGATCCGGGTGCAGCATATGACCAGCCAGTCCAGCCTTCGCCTGACCATCCTCCTTCGAGGTCCACATACGCCGGTACTCCTCATGCTGTACCTCCACCGAGCATGCCTTACCAACCTGTACCAGTTCACTATGGTTCTCCGCCTATCTTAGCGAATCCACCAGCTTATGCCATGCTTCCAGGGATGGAACTTTTGATAGCTTCTAGCTATGGCATCCCAAGACCCTCTTTGCCAGTGTTTGACAGCGGCCAGGAGAGTGACTTCGCCCTACTCAAGATGGCACTGGACAATCTACTGAGCCCTCATCAACATCTGAGTGAACAGTACAAGTTCCAGGTGCTTTTAGACCACTTGAAGCTGTCTGGTGCTCTACGGCTGGCCAAAGCTTACATGCACGATCCGAGGCCATACACTGCAGCACTTCAGGCATTGCAGGAGAAGTATGGTCAGCCCAGGCAACTAGTTCAGAGTGAACTTGGGGCTATCCTGAACACTCCTGCAATGAGGATGGGTGATGCAGAAGCATTTGACTCCTTTGCTCTGTCTGTCCATTCACTCGTAGGTATGTTACGAACACTGGAGGGGCAGAACGGTTATGAACTCTGCTGCGGTTCACATGTTGACCGGCTTCTGAGCAAATTACCACCAAGCTACAGAGACGGATTCATTGAGTATTGCATCAATCGTGGCATTCTTCGGACTGGAACTGACCTAACATACACTCTGCCTGATTTAGCGAATTGGCTTAATCTAAAATCCCAAGCAAAGCGGATAGCCAGTCGGGCTGCAGCCTTGTATCAGGTTGAAACACCTAAAGGGCTAAAGGGCATTTTCTTCAATAAGGATGACTCTGCAAGCACAAGAGACCCTGTCTCGGTCAAGCCAAAGGTAAAACCAGTACCTTACTGCCCTTATTGTGACAACAAGGAGCATTTCCTTAACTCTTGCACTGAGTACAAGAAACTCAGCCGCAGCCAGATGTTGAGATGGCTAAAGGATGGGAAACGGTGTTGGAAATGTGGACGGAGTCACTCACCTGATGCCTGCACCCTCAAAAGGCCATGTAGGACTTGCAAAGAGCTGCACCTTACTGTCCTTCATGATGTTATTCAAGACCATCAAGGGTCAGTGTTAATGGTCAGTGTACCAGCTCCTACTTCCATCTATTTGGACCGACCAAACCGCTCAAGGAAGGTAATGCTCAAGGTAGGTAATGCTCAAGGTGGTAAAGGTCATCCTGCACAATGGAGGACTTGCCATGGAGACATATGCTGTGCTCGATGATGGCTCTGAACGGACTATTGTCCTTCCCCAAGCTGTCCAGCAGCTGAACCTCAAGCGGTCACCTGAGACCCTAACCTTGCGGACCGTTCGTCAAGATGTGGAGATTCTCCAGGGAGCTTCAGTCTCTTTTGACATATCCCCGTTGTTCAAGCCAGAAAAGAGGTACAAGGTCACAAATGCATTCACTGCTGAGGGTCTGTGTCTCGCTGATCACTCATACCCTATTGGAGCCTTACAGAAGCGGTATCCACACTTGAAGGGTCTGCCACTCCCTCCAATAGAAAAGGCTAAGCCACTCCTTCTCATTGGCTCGGACCTGCCTCACCTGCTCACCTCGATCCGACCAGTGAAGGAAGGACCTATTGGTGGGCCCACTGCTGTCTGCACCAGACTTGGTTGGGCGCTTCAGGGTCCAACTAATAATATACCAGCACAATTCCAAGTGTCTCAGTGTTTCCACATCTCCACCATGCCACAACTACATGAGCTTCATCATCATGTAGAACGCCTCTGGCAGGTGGACACCCTTCCATTCATGAGTGAGAAGACTGTTGAACGCTCAAAACAGGATCAACAGGCCATTGTCCAGCTCCAGGCCTCCACAATCAGAGTACAGGTTGAGGGCATTCAGCGATATGCTACACCTCTGATACGACGCACGCCATCATTCCTACTGAAGGCACCCAAGGAGGCCGTGGTACCCAGCTTGCGAAACATGGAGCGCAAACTGTTGAAGGACTCTGTCCGTGCTGACAAGTACTGCAAGAAGATCCAGAAACTCCAGCAAGCTGGATATGTGGCAAAGATTTCTCCAGAGGAAGCAACTAAGTCCACCGAATCCTGGTTTGTTCCCCACCATATGGTGAGACACAACGGAAAGGACAGGATAGTGTTTAACTGCTCCTTTCAGCATCAGGGACAGTCCTTGAATGATTTGCTCCTCCCAGGGCCCCAACTTGGACCATCATTGCTCGGAGTCCTTTTGAGATTCAGGGAGCATCCAGTGGCAATCAGTGGAGACATCAAAGGCATGTTCCACCAGATCCGCCTACTACCAGCTGATAAGCATGTGCTGAGATTTATCTGGAGGGATATGCAGAGAGATTCAGAGCCAGAAATATATGAGTGGCAGGTGTTGCCTTTTGGGACAACTTGCAGCCCCTGTTGCGCCATATATGCCATGCAGCGCCACTCCCAGGATAACGGGAGCAACAATCCTGAACTGGTAGAGGCAGTAGAGCAGTCATTCTATGTAGACAACTGTCTTCACAGCACATGCAGCAAAAAGGAAGCAAAGGCTATGTTGGATGGACTCCGCCAGCTTCTGTGTTCAGGTGGCTTCGAGATCCGGCAGTGGGCGAGTAATGACCCAGCAGTCATCGAACATCTCCCCTCTGATGCTCGCTCTGAAAGCAGTGAGCTGTGGCTCTCCAAATGCAGCACAGACATACAGGAGCCCACTCTTGGTCTGCACCATTGGCTACAAACACAGATCCCTACAGACTGCTGAGCCTACACTGCGATACATCTACAAGGTTCTCGCCTCTCAGTTTGACCCACTCGGGATGATAATACCATTCACAACCCGAGCCAAGGTCCTCATTCAGGATCTGTGGAAGGAGAACATGAGATGGGATGACCATATTGAACAACCAATTCTGCGAGAACGATGGTTATCTTGGGAGCAAGAGCTTCCTGCTCTTTCTCATCTTGAGATCCCACGCACCTACATTCCTCCATCATCCAACACGTCTGAAGTAACCAGGGAACTTCACATATTCTGTGATGCCTCAGAGAGGCATACATGCGGACTGTGGGCAAACATGGCAAAATAAATGTGTCATTTGTCCTGGCAAGATCCAGAGTTGCACCCAGGAAGCAGCTGTCCATGCCTCGTTTGGAGCTGTGTGCTGGGCTTACTGGAGCTCAGCTTGCCCATCTTCTCCAGAAAGAGCTCACAGTGCCAATTCAACGAGTAATACTGTGGTCAGATTCAACCACTGTCCTCCATTGGCTCCATTCAGAATCCTGCAGGTACAAGGTGTTTGTGGGAACACGTGTCTCAGAAATACAAACCTTGACCAATGTTAACTGTTGGAGATACGTCAGTCAGTCAAGAATTCGGCAGATGACATCACCCGTGGGTTGACCTTGGAGACCATCGCCAGACCACACAGGTGGCTGCGCGGCCCTGACTTCCTCTATGAGTCAACTGACAAATGGCCTGTCATGCCATCTGGAGACTTAGAGCCTGAGAAAGCTGAGCTCAAGAAGGCCACCATAGTTGCCACTGTGTCAGTCAATCCAGGACCTTCCATTCCCTCGGCTAGCAAGTTCACTACCTGGAAGGAGCTTGTTCATGCTACAGCTGAGGTCCTTCACGGGGCGGCCCATCCCACAAGTGACATTGTTGTCAATGTTGGGGATTACATTGCTGCAGAGAAATTGGTACTGGTCCAGGCGCAATTGGAATCTTCCCCTGATGAGATGCAGGCCCTCAAGGACAACAAGTTTATACCAACCGACAGTCGACTTGCTTCACTTGCACCTGAATACGATGGAGCTACAGGTCTCTTACGTGTAGGTGGCCGACTGAGACGAGCAGAGAATTTGGAGTTGGGTAGCATTCATCCTATCGTTTTGGATTCTAAGCACCCAATAACCAACCTACTGATAGCTGACTATGACCAGAAGCTTGCCCACGCCGGACCAGAGAGGGTCCTGGCAGAACTTTGCCGTAAGTATTGGATCTTACGTGGTAGAGAAGCAATTCGTAAGCACCAACATTCCTGCCAAGGGTGTCGTCGGTGGAGGGCTAAACCTGAAATTCCAAAAATGGCAGACCTTCCCCCCTCTCGTCTTCGCCTCTTCAAGCCACCGTTCTACTCAACGGGAGTGGACTGCTTTGGGCCATTCACTGTGAGAATAGGGAGACGGCACGAGAAGCGGTGGGGGATTGTCTACAAATGTATGACAACCCGTTGTATACATCTGGACCTCTTGGAGAGCTTAGATAGTGATGCCTTTCTGATGTCTCTACGTAGATTTATTTCTCGTCGCGGTAAGCCCTACGAAATCCTGTGTGATAATGGCACAAACTTTGTGGGTGGTACGAGGGAAATCAAGGAGGCTTTCACATCCATGGAGCCTAACCTCCAGCAACAGCTTGCTGAGCAACAGATACTTTTCCGATTCAATCCGCCAAGTGCCCCTCATTTTGGTGGTACTTGGGAGAGAGAAGTGAAGTCGGTAAAGACAGCCCTCCAAGCAATCCTCCAAGAGCAGGTGGTACCAGAATCTGTACTACTCACTGTCTTGATCGAAGTGGAAGGAATGCTAAATGCTAAGCCTCTAGGCTACCTATCCTCTGACGTATCTGATCCAGATCCGATTACCCCTAGTCTCATTCTCACGGGCAGACACGACTCCTCCCTTCCTCAAGCTCTCTACGACACCAGCAATCTTCTGACCAGAAGACAGTGGAGACATAGCCAAGTGATAGCAGACCACTTCTGGTCAGCCTTCATCCGCTACTACTTGCCCACTCTGCAAGAGCGACAAAAATGGAGAACCGACAAGAAGGGACTGGCCATCAATCAGATAGTACTGATAGTGGATCCTCAGCTTCCACGAGCCCTTTGGCCCGTGGGGAAAGGCTGCCTGAACTTACAGACGATAGCCAGCAAGGGTAGGAGTCTTTCTCGACATGTTCAAATGTCCAGTTGCGACATTTGGGGGAGGCTGTGTGAGAAAGCCTGACTAGAGTTAACGAGCCTGCTCAGACACGTAACGAGCTCGGACCGTATAAAGCACGTGGCTTACATGCTGCAGAGCGGAGTGTAGGAGGAGCAGAGCAGCTGCAGGAGCAGCCTGGAAATTTAAGTTATATGTTTGTGCGTTAATGCAGAAAAGAGTAAGTTTGTTCATATTTACTTGATCTAGTTTCATATATGTACTTACTAAAGTTATTATCTTCATTCTATTCCAGTTAAATTGCATCAAGTTTTTCTTTGATACATTTTTCAAGATTGGTTGTTATTGCAAAAGGGACATCATATATTGTATATGCTATGATGCACATTTGTGTTACCTACATATATTTTTTTTCCTTCTTTCCTTTAGAACCACACACACATACATACACACACGAAGATACGTAGATTGATCCTCATAACTACACGGAACCACGAATGAGACACGAGACACAAGATATGCCAATCTCCTTTGTTCAAAGTGGCCTCTGTAAATCTACGTGTCTGTCACGGAATAAAACCCTTGAGCTGTGAATCCTCTCTGCTGTCTGACCGGAATCATTTTCCATATCTGCCGACCCAAACTAAAGAACTTTCCAAAGGTTCAACCTTTATTTCACCTCGCATCGCGACAGGTTACCTGTGTTACCTGATGTCAGTGACTACATCGCGACAGGTTTCCTGTGTTACCTGATGTCAGTGAATGCATCGTGACAGGTTACCTGTGTTCTGAGTCCGCAGCAGGTCTAGCTGCTCCTCACTGATGTTCAGTCTCAAAGTCACCGCAGACAGCGCCCCCTGCTGGACTGAAAACAGGTTGGACTTAATTTAGAATTCTGATTTAAAAGAAAAACAAGTGAACAATGAAAAAACATATATACTGTATATAAATGTATATATATACCCTATATAACAATGAAAGAACATATATATACATATATATATATATATATATATATATATATACCCTATATAACAATGAAAGAACAATTAAAGATTACCTGTGTTACCTGATGTCAGTGAATGCATCGCGACAGATTACCTGTGTTACCTGATGTCAGTGAATGCATCGTGACAGGTTACCTGTGTTCTGAGTCCACAGCAGGTCGAGCTGCTTCTCACTGATGTTCAGTCTCGAAGTCATCGCAGACAGCGCCCCCTGCTGGACTGAAATCAGGTTTGACTTTATTTAGAATTCTGATTTAAAAGAAAACAATGAAAGAACATAGATATATATATATACCCTATATAACAATGAAAGAACAATTAAAGATTACCTGTGTTGCCCGATGTCAGTGACTGCATCGCGACAGGTTACCTGTGTTACCTGATGTCAGTGAATGCATCGTGAAAAACTGTAACCTCATTATTTATTAAAACTGCAATATAATAATAATGAATAATATGTCCATGATGACAAAGTTATTAATATAAAGTTATTGAAATTATTAGAATCAGAATCTGGGTTTATTGCCAAGTACATTTACACATAAAAGGAATTTGACTTGGTGTATTGGTGCTAAAGAATTAACAAAGAAATAATGCAGAACTAGCAACAACAATAGTACAGTATAAGAAGCTATTACAATATATAAAATAGAATTTAAAAATGTAAAATATAAAATATAAAAAATAAAGATAAAAAACACAAAATGTACGAAAGGTGCAATATAGGAGCTTATTAATATAAAGTTATTAAAGTTATTAATATAAAAGTATTAAAGTTATTAATATAATGTTATTAAAGTTATTAAAATAAAGTTATTAACCCTTAAAGACCTAGAGCAATTTTGGGGGCGACTGACTGTTCTGCATTTATTCTGTTTTTTAAACATTTTCTAGCAGTCACCATCAAGTACCATAATCATTTTAATCAGGACAACCTAAGGTAGCAGTCCGGCTCATTAAAAATCCAAATTTTACATTAACTTGGTCTCTGAATGGAAGAATTTATCAGAATAAAAAAAAACGCTTATAAAAAAGGTCTATTTTTACCTTGAACTGAGACATAACCTCATTAAGTTGTTTTGTTTTTTTAGAAAGTTAAACTATGATGTTTGAGGCTTCCATGTGAATTTCTGTTCACATCTTATTTTTCCTCAGCAAGTTACAGCCCTTTATTACAACATTATTCTAGGCGTTTTTTCACTGAAAAATTAAATAGATGTATTGCTATATTTTGTGTACTAACCATACAAATGAGCCCAAACATTTCAGACAGTAAATACAAAGGGTATGATATCATAACAAAGGACTCTGAAGCAGATGTGAATTTCATTCAGATAAATATATTATAAATTGAACATGAACAGCAAATGTAAAAAAATGCAACGAATATCAAAAATTCACAAACTATTTACAAATAGAAATATATTAATAACAAATGTGGAAGATACAAATAGTGCACATGATTTTCACAAACTACCAGACAAATTAAATCAATTACCAAATTATCAAATTAAAAAGAGTGCAATGAATCTAACTATAAACAAAATAAGATATACAGTATAATGAATTTATATGAATAAAAGTGCAAATGATTTACACAAAATTACACAGAGAAGAGAGAAATATTATAAGTGCGAGTGTGAATGAACACAAAAGTGCAAATGATCTTGGCAAATTACATACAAACTTTGCAAACTTCCTTTGCTGGAAGCTTTTCCTGGACACCTCCTTGAACCTCAATGTCAACAGGAGTCATGCTGATGGGGACAGTGGCTTGAAATAAAACATACAGATAAAGATTAATAAAATATACAGAAATAGGTGTCTATAATATACCAATATAGAGATATGTAACATATACAGACATAGTTGTCCTAGATATTCGTAGATTTCTGTACAGATAGAGTTTTGCAAAACATATATACATACATACATATACATATATATATCTGTATAATGTATAATATTCAGATATAGATGTGTAAAACATATACATATAGATGACTAAAATATCCAGATAGTTGTGTCCAAGTTTCTTTCTACCTTTCTTATACTTATTGCTTTCATGTCAGTTTGTCATCCTACCTCTTAGTCACACACTCTGACATAAGGACATAAAATAAGGCCTGCCTTCTAGTCTGCCATATATTTTATAGAAAATAATAGTAGGCAACATTGATCTTGTGGGTCTTGAGCTATGTTTATGATTCTTTGATTTTACCTTAGGCCTATGGCAAATGGCCATCCATTAGGAAACTCTACAGGCAAGTTATTTTGTGTTATGTTTTACATATAGTAGGCTACAATCAATAAATGATACACAAAAAGCACAATAAAATATAAGCTGCGTTACTCACTTATCTTCAAAAGGATCAATCCCCTGGCTGTACTCCTCCTCACTGCACCAGGTATCTGCGTCAGAGTCCGAAGGCTCCACAGTAATGTCGCCAGGCTCATTAGAAAATACTATCTCCAAAGCTTCCTCTGTTGTGTAGCTTTATTTTGCCATTTTCATTTTTCAGTTTCTTCACTTTCTAAAGTATGTAAATAGGTTTAATGGTTAAAAAGTTACAGTATTAAACGTTTTAGCGCGGAAGCTATTTTTAGCCGCGGGCAGCGTTCTCGGTCTTAAAGGGATAATATAAAGTTATTAAAGTTATTAAAGTTATTGATATACAGTTATTAATATGACGTTATTAAAGTTATTAATATAAAGTTATTAAAGTTATTGATATACAGTTATTAATATAAAGTCTGCCAGAGTGGGAGGAGTCTGACAGAGTGGGAGGAGTCTGTCAGAAACACGTTTTACATTCATCATGATCGTTAATGATCGTAAGGTTTGTGCATCCTGTTTTCAATAATCCTGAGCCTTAGTGTTTATAAAATACAGAGTTCACCATCAGATTATTAGTACAAACTAAGAACTCATAAATGATTTAATATTAAAACTGTTTGAGTGTAGAAAAGGTCTGTTTGTTAGTTTATCAGCAGACTGCAGCGTGTTCTTCAGGTGTTTGTTTTCAGGTAAAGGAAACTCTGTTACTGAATGTAT